AGAACAGTTTAACAATTCCAAACTTTGAAATGATGATAACCATTGCGATAGCTTCATTGTTGGGATCGTTAGGCAAAGAGCCGTGGAGAAAGAAAGGCCAGAGTTAAAATAAACTTAGAAGTGAATCGATAGAGAAATGACATTTCTCATTTATCATCTTGATTGTTTAGATGCTGTCGTCGTCATTCAATAAATCAGCAAAGAAAGAACAATTGCGTCATAAGAAACCAAAGACTGTGATGTCAGGAAATCAATCAAGGCATGACGAATCGGTCAGTTTTTCACTGCATTTTTTCGAATACGAAAAACATGAAATCATGGTCTGATAGAGTTTAAAATCAGTCAAATTTAAGCATTAAGCAGGTGACATATGAGATACGTTTGTCACCAGCATCGTAGTGCGGGCTTTGCAGCTGACTGAGGCACATCACCATCAGTCCGTTGTTCCACTGTGTCGCGCCTACCGTGTCTTAGAGGTTGTATTTTGAGAGATGGACTGAAGCTGAGTAAACTTACGTGTATCAAAGCTAGTGTTATGTGCCTCGTTGTAGTTTGTTTGCCGGTAGATGAATAATTATGGAGACAGTTTGAAGACCACCCACTCACCTAGCGACCCTTTGTAGTACGTGGGTTGACCATGACGACACGGAACGGCATTGCACTTAAGTAACGTGTTCCTGTGCACAGCGCACAGGTTACAAATCAGCTGAACGTAAGCAACGTTGGTTTAGTTTCAACATATTTTATTCTCATGAAAAGGATTGGGCACAAGTTATCACAACATAGAACGCCCTCTCCCATAGATTTACATGTATGCTTATTTACAATCAATAAATTTAATGACAGGAAGGATAGAAAAGAAATAGAGAAACGTATGTAAACTGAGGGGCAAAAGAAACGCCACCAAAAAAATAATTGTCGTCAGTTTTCAACAAATTTGCCAAACAGCACGAAAACAGTTGGGAACACATATACCTGGAATGCAGCTAACCTATTCCCTGTGGACATGTTCGCGTGCTTCACGTGATTTGCGAGAAAAGTGAATTTAATCACTAAAAAATGCAAAATGTGCACAAAGTTAGCCGTATGAAATTCTGGTATAAAACCTGAGCAGGATTGTCACCTCTCATCACATGAAACCGTTTAAAACAACGAACATGCCTCGACTAACCGCAGAGCAGAGGGAGAGAGTCATCAGTATGTTGCAAATGGGAGCGACGCAGGAGCACGTTGCCAGGATCATGGGCTGCTTCAAGTGCACCATTGCCAGACTTGTCACACGTCACAGGCAAACTAGCAGTACTGCAGACAGGCCGAGGAGTGAAAGACCCAAGGTCACGACCCTTCAGCAAGACCGGTGCTTCCCCTAAGGTTCAGATTCCTAACTGTGACGTCATCATCCAGCCTTGGACATCCAGTCAGCAGAAGGGCCGTTGCGAGACGACTCCGCCTGTATGGTCTCCGTGCCTATCGACCACATCACATCCGATACTGAGTCATGTGTGTGTGCAGCACAGGACTATAAAAGAGGTTGACGTCGATACTGCGCGTGTGATCGAATACTGGACAGTGCCCCCAGCATAATAAACGTGACTGCAGAACTTTAAGTACATGGTTTTTGATCTTGTCATTTTCAAATACCGTTTTGGAATAATTGTTTTTTTTATAATAAAACATCAACTGTTACTAAATTTTGCGTCTGTTTTTTTTAAGACCAGAAAATTGTTTGGTGGCGTTTCGTTTGCCCGTTGTTTACATTCACATTGCTCACTCAAACCTTTTTGTTTTCTTTATATATGTATGTACATTCCTAAAATGTTTTCGTTAACATGATTAAGTAAAACTGCATTGCCAACTAGCATCAGGTCAGTATTTACATCACACATATCTTTCACAATTAACAATAGTGAGTGCATCAATTCCTTTCTAGCTGACGTCCCTTGGGTACGCCAGAAACCTATGATTGTGGGTTCGAATCTCGGTTCGCCCCGATTATGTTTCTAGGTTTGTCAGCACCATACCCGTGCTCGTGGGTTTCACCGAAGTGGTAAACGTCTGAGACTCGCATTAAGCTGACACTCCGTGATATAACTGTAATACTGTTAAAAGCGGCGTTAAACCGAACTCACTCACTCACTTTCTAGCTGATTTAAGAAAAGGACATTCAATGAAAAAATGATATGAATTTTCACATGGGGTGCCCCATCGGCATTTTGGATCTTCGTTTAAACCTTTTCTAAATAGTCATTTTTTTAATTCACTATCACCATGTCTTAATTTTGTATGTATTATGTTAATTTTCCTTAGACCATATGAGAAATATGATGGAACTTAGATTTATCTGTTCTTAAGCTGGATTTAAATCGAGAGAAGGTTTCAATATTCCTTATGCTACCTATGCTGAATAGGTGAGTGAGTGAGTATGGTTTTACGCCGCTTTTAGCAATATTCCAGCAATATCACAGCGGGGGACGCCAGAAATGGGCTTCACACATTGTACCCATGTCGGGAATCGAACCCGGGTCTTCGGCATGACGAGCGAACGCTTTAACCACTAGGCTACCCGACCGCCCCGCTGAATAGGTAACGTATTCCACAATTTAATAGCGGATGGTATAAATGAGGATTCAGATAACTTGGCACGTAATAAAGTCATAGTTATATCGTGAGCAGCGTTGGTCGCGGTTAGTCCTTGGATCAATGACTGTTCGATTGCTTGACTCCTGGGAGTTTCTAGGGCTTTGGTCCTGCCCCACACTGAAGCACATGCATGCCACGTGGTGTCTCCTTGAGCAAGTGGCTTTGTTGGAATTGTGCCTCAGTTTCACCCAACAGTGAATGGGTACCCGGTTGTTGTTGACCTTCTAGCGCCTCAAATGCAGTGGGTTGTATACTCCCTAGGGAGTTGAGAACGATGGTTGAGGGCACACTGATCCATTGACCGGGGTAATAATAGTGTGGCGCTTTGAGCATGTGTGTGTGTGTGTGTGTGTGTGTGTGTGTGTGTGTGTGTGTGTGTGTGTGACTAAAACGTTAAGGGTCTATCATAGTAATGAAGATATACTTCATTGTAAGCTTCCCGTATGAGAGAAATATTCAGGTTCTGTACAGCTATCCCCATGCGTTAGAGTTGGGGGAAAGTTTGATTTTGAAGACCCGAGACGGGTCCAGGATAGACGTCTCAAACTTACTAGGCCCTTGTATTGACCTAGTCGGTCCGTGACATTCCTTCCAGTGGAATCGTGTGATGTATTCGGCCATGCCGGTCATTTGTGAGAGACAGGGGAGTGGAACTGTGATTTGAGTTAGACTGAGTCTGTGCACAATGTATCCTTGACTAATACATTGGTTAATAATCGGAATATTTTGTGACCGGGGTCCAGATTGTGTCCGATTGGTGGAGTTTTCTGTGTCACACTCAATATTCACTTATTTTGCTTGGCCACATACATGTTAGGTTGCCAGATGGTATTCGAAATTGTGTACATATTGAATAGTTGTAGGTTTTGGAAATAATTAAATATTCTTAATGGTGAAACTGAGTTAGGACCTTCCTTTTGTTACTTGAGACACTGTGTCACTCGTAACACTTGTCATAAGAGACGACTGACGGGATCGGTCAGGCTCGCTCGATGTCAGACTTGGTTGATGCATGTCATCTATCCCAACTGCGTGGATCGATGCTTATGGCATTTTTGAATACTAAATGTATTCAAACTTTAAACATTGTTCAACCTTTAAACAAGTTAAATATGTGAACATGTGTGAATCTGTTTAAATTTTATACATGTTTACATTATGGGTATGATGTGTTTAGGTGGTGTTTAGGCTGTGAGACAATAGACCATTTCATGTGTTTAGAAACTAAACGTGTTTAGTCATTGATTGCCTCAGGTAACGGTAACATGTGTTCTTGTCGCACCTGCTGCACAGCAGACTGACGAAAGATCGATTGTATAGTCCCATTAACAATCACATTGCAAAAGAAATACCCTGTGAAGGGACGACTGAAATGAGATGGAATGCTGCAAAAGGGGCTAGTTTGGGGCATTTATCCCCCCCCCCCCCCCCCCCCAAAAAAAAACAAAACCAAAAAAACCAAACAAAACCCACCCCAACAACAACAACAACAACAAACAAACAAAAAACAACAACAAAAAAACAAACAAAAAACAACAACAACAAAAAACGTCTCTCCCTGCAGATTTGATTTAAGTCATACAAAACCCTCTGTGTCCGTTAACTCAGATGTTATTATGTTCTTTTTCTGTCAGTTTGGTCGCTACTTCTAGATCCTTTATTTAATCCTTGTTTTCAGGCGTGTGACATTATGAATGTCTCTAATAATATGCATAGCCGGGTTGTCTGTTATTTCATAAGCCGATACAGTTTAATTCCTTTATTATTGCGGAACACATCGATTTTCGTGGATTATGTTTAATGGAGTTAACAACTGTTGGGGAAGGTGACTGAAGTAAATACTTTGCTATTTCTAAGGTTAGCTCAAGGTGGGATTCTGGGTCAAATAAGATCCCCAGTATCCACTGGAGACTAAAACGAATGAGTGAGTCGGTTTTAGGTCGATTAAAGTACCATCTTGCCACGATGGTGCCACACGTTGCTGACAGTATCAACTGCCCGGTCCAGACTCCATATTTGCAGGCGTGTTATAGCTGCAATAATATAAATACCAATAATCCAAAGTGATAATAATAATAATAATAATAATAATAATAATAATAATAATAAGTGCATTTATAATGCGCCAGATTCCATTCACCAGCGCTACACTATGATTACACCCGGTTAATGGATCAGTGAGCACTCGATTTTCATTCAGCCCTAGAAACTCTCAGGTGTCAAGCTGCCTAACGTGGTCACCCATCCAACTACTCTCCGTGACCGACGTTGCTTAAGTTCACCTGATTTGGGATCACTGCGCTGTGCAGAGGACCACGTGCCACCACAAAGTGGACGGGGAATAACAGATGTCAAGTTAGTCATTATCTGTATTGTTTTAATGCATTAAATTACAGTACAGAGTGCAGGTCATTAAAACACCAAAACACGTAATGTATGCTTGGGACTGAATCATATTGATTGAATCTATACATATACAACATTAAGTAATAATATGTTCTAAGAAACCCCACATCCAAAACATGGCTATGTGTGTTTACATAAACACAAATTTCACACATTGCCCTTCTCACAAAAAGCCACTGTTCAAGAGTTCAGCTTAAACAGTCACACAGCGTGACCTTTGTCCACAGTTTCATAGTACAGTAAGCATAGTAACTTTATTCATCAGCTGTTGAAGGGTTGATATGAGAAATCGATGAAATGATTCACATCTATATTCTTCATACGGACTGTGTCCCATGTCATGAATAATCTATGGAGCTTCTGGGTCTATGGAACTGGCTCAACCTGGAGATTAAAGCATCTGAGGGTGTGTCTTGAACGATGCTGGAGTCTGCTGTCGTAGTTAAAACAGTTACTACGAACCAGTCTGTAGATTGATGCAACTCTGCCTTAGCTAACGGATGTCGCACTTCTCCTTCAAGCCCATTGGTGCTCTCTGTTACCGTACAGTTAAAGGGACATTCGTGACCAACTCGTGTTATTCCGGGACAAGCCGTCTTGCAGGTTACGGAAAGGGGCGAGTGGTGACGAATGTTAAAGGGAAACCAATAAGATGATGCCAGTGATGAACCAATATATATGAATCTCGGCTATTTGTTAGTCTTTGCCATCCTTAACTTTTCCAATCGAAATGTCTGATGCTAAGTCACACGCTGCTTCTGTTGAGATGTTGGCCATTCTTGGCGATGATCACGAGCAAGTCGGCAAAACGCAAGATGCTACGAGCTACTTTGTGACGTCAAAGGGCCGGGAGGGATGGGCGTTGTCGCCTTGGGGGTGGAGGGGGAGGCGGACTTTCTCGTGCTGCAAACAAAAATATGTAAAGGAAGATTATATAAAAGTAATATGAGCAGAGTGACTTTCCGAATGGTAAATATCACATGAAGTTCTTTAGGAATAAAAATATGTATTAAATTGGAACATTATACATATGTTATGCCTAATATATAACAATTACGAAACGTAAACACACAATAATGTTATTCTTAAAATATTCGATGTTTAAGGTGAGGTGAAATTGGGTTTAACGTCGCGTCCAAGATTATTGCACTTATATAGCGACGTGCATGCACGTGAATGTGTGTGTGTGGACGCTCTACCACAAGACCACGGAGGCGGTCTTCGATGTTTAAGACGTATAATAATTTCATTCAATGAGGTAACTTAAGAAACAGCGTATCTATCACAAACATGTGTTTATGAATCACAGTCAAACAGTGATGATACCAGATGCACTCTACATTAATTCATATTTTTTTATAATTATAAATGTTTTGAGTTTGAAGGCACTTAGAATCAGTAAGTATAGATTATGCCGCTGTTAGCAATATGCCATCAATATCAAGACGGGAGACACCAGCAATGGGCTTCACACATTGCACCCTGTAGGGAACGAACCCGTGCTTACGGCGTGACGAGCGAACGCTTTAACCACTAGGCTATCCCACCGCCCCGTTATACATAAGCAGTGTTGATCAAGTGAATAGGTATTTATAACATTACAGTTGATGCAACCTGTAATAGATCAGGAAACATGCCACATATGGTTGTTCGTGGTCACAGCCGTGCGATAACATTTCAAATTAAAAAAAAATTAAACATTGGTTGAAATGGTTCGATTGAAGCATAGAAATATGAATCACCTTACTTCTATGGTAGTTTTAGAATGTCCGTACGACGTGCGTTGTGAATGTACTTTTATTATTGACTTCCTAAACAAAGAAATACCCCCTTTTCTGGCTCGCCCGACTGCTTATTTGTCATTTGTTTCGTCGTCCGTCGTTCGTCGTCCTTCCTGAAGAGAAACTACTGACTCTGTAGCTTCACCTGCTTCTTCACCAATGATAGCACCTCCATTTGTTTAAGAATTTCAAATAAGAATTTCAGTCCGGCCAATCACATTAAAAAAACTATTCGTGGGGCATTACGCAAACATTTGTGTTCAAAATGTAATGAAATTTGGTATCTATTTCGTTAACAGTTGGACACACATGTTCTTTTTTCCCGCAATACTTTAGTTTGTTGTTTAACGCCGCACTCAACAATATTCCAGCCATATGACGGCGGTCTGTAAATAATCAAGCCTGGACCAGATAATCCAGTGATGATATCATGAGCATTTATCTACGCAACTGGGACACGATGACATGCATTAACCAAATATGCGAGTCTGACCACCCGATCCCTTAAGGCGCACCTTACGACAAGCATGGGTTGCTGAAGACCGATTCTAATCCGGATCTTCATGGGCACCGCAATATTTTAACATGGACATTGTTCTGACCTTTCTGTTTTGTTTATGCTCTTAAGTTACCTCAATGCTGTACACGAGGCTTTGTGAAAGACTCTCCTAAAGGGGCGTTCGGGTAGCCTAGTGGTTAAAGCGTTCGCTCGTCACGCCGAAGACCCGGGTTCGATTCCCGACATGGGTACAATGTGTGAAGCCCACTTCTGGGGTCCCCCGCCGTGATATTGCTGGAATATTGCTAAAAGCGGCGTAAAACCAAACTCACTCACTACTTCCCTAAAATTACCAGACTGAACCTCATAATGCAGGGTCTTTTTTCATCACATATTATTTTGTTAAAATAATTAATATTTACGTGTTTTAATCTTTAGTATTATTGCAGAAATCATTTGAATATCAATAATGACAGCGACCTTTCTTAAGCTAAAGTGCCGTGGCACAATTGTAGTAATTTAATGAGTAAATCATATAAACAACAGATAATTTCTGTGTCTAGGTCATCAAGCAGACCAATATATTCCCCAGGAAGCTGATAGTACAATGTACACGCAGTGATCTTGTATAGAGTATTATTCACCCGAGTGAGATTTTCTACAATATTAGTGATGATGATGTTCACGACGAAAAGGCAATGTTGATGAGTGAGTGAGTTGGGTTTAACGCCGCTTTGAACAGTATTCCAATAATATCATGGCGTGTGAGCTTGATGTGGGAGGAAATCCCGAAGTGATGCAGGTCTCAAACATTTACTGCGCTTGGGAAACCCACGATCACGGTATGGTGCAGACAAATCTAGAAACATAACCGGGGCAAACCGGGATTCGAACCCACGATCACAGGTCATCTGGGCCATCCGTGCCCCCATTCATGATGAAAATAAGAATAGCAATACAGTATATGACGTACGTTGCTTGGCAACAAGAGCACTTGGGTAAGTCTTTTTGCACGGCGTGTAGGGCTCGGGTGACGGCAACTCGCGGATTCCGTGAAATCTGAATCTAGCTTCGAAATCTGAAACAACAAGAATCAATACGATAATTCATATATATATATATATATATATATATATATATATATATACCAGTTATTACATATCGATTGTTTATTTCACCAAGCACTCTGCATTTACGTGACGAGTTTTCGAAAATGATTCCTGTAATAACTTTCAAGAATAGGACCAGAAAAGGTAGGTTGGGTTTTATTTGAACGGACGTCTGAATGACAAGTCTTAACTGGAGAAATAGTTACCTGATATATCTGGTACAGATCTAGATACCGGTCGACGTGTTCTCTCAGGCAATGGCGGTGGGACTGTAGAATTCACTGACAGCAGCTTGGCCATCTGTAATAAGTTTATCGCAACATTATTTGTTTGTTTGTTGTTTAACGCCATACTCAGTAATAATCAATCTATATGACGTCGGTCTTTAAATAATCTAGTCTGGACCAGACAATCATAGTGTTTGACATCGTGAACATCGATCTACGCAATTGGGATACGATGACATGCATCAACCAAGTCGGCAAGTCTGACCACCCGATCCCATTAGTCGCATGGGTTACACATTTTAACACGGATATTGACGGGGTCGCCGTGTTATTCAACTCAATGGTATGAACAATGTCCTTCATTCGGCTTCCTGACTGTAACTGAAACCAGGGTCAAGGTTTGGAACAAGTTCGTATCCAAATATAGACATGGCTTTCCCCTCTCCCTGTCAGCCTCTGGTGTCCACATTTCACCGCTTTGGAGGTACAGTCGAGCATATGGTCTTTCCACCAAGATTTCAAAGAGCGTCACAAGACTCTTGCTCAGAAGTTGTTTGATCAAGGTTCCAACATTCCATGCTTTCAAAAGCTATGGTAGACATTTGGAGGACATTTCCAATTTTGACGCATCAGTGACAAGAATGATGTCTCAAGCAGTTCCCTATTTTGACTTGTACCATATGGTCCCGTGTTTTTCAGGTGAACAATTGACTTTCCTTTGCATGTGTTTGTGATGGGTGTCACCGGTGGGACAGGATACGCACACCTTTTCGCGAATACCTGGTGTGATCTCAATTGGATAGTGATTCATAAACACATGCTCTCGATATAGTCGGAATCGTACAATCGACTCTGCTTTCAGCAGAAATTCCTTTAATGTTTTATATTTACTGACTTTGGATATCACTTGTTTGATAACGGTGGTAAAATCTACACGGAAATGCCTCTACGATTTTAATAAAGAAGCTGATTATCCACACTGTCTTGTCAAAGGATCACCTAACTTATTTTATTCCACTGTGATTTCAAAACGCAATGTGTGTCTTGCATTACTGTCTTAGGTATCCGATTCAAAACCAGTGACAGTTTTAGTGGATTATTAGTTTAACATCAGTCACCTGTTTGTATCAGTGTAACATCAGTCACCTGTTTGTATCAGTGTAACATCGGTCACCTGTTTGTATCAGTGTAACATCAGTCACCTGTTTGTATCAGAGTAGCATCGGTCACCTGTTTGTATCAGAGTAGCATCGGCCACCTGTTTGTATCAGTGTAACATCGGTCACCTGTTTGTATCAGTGTAACATCAGTCACCTGTTTGTATTAGTGTAACATCGGTCACCTGTTTGTATCAGTGTAACATCGGTCACCTGTTTGTATCAGTGTAACATCAGTCACCTGTTTGTATCAGTGTAACATCAGTCACCTGTTTGTATCAGTGTAACATCGGTCACCTGTTTGTATCAGTGTAACATCGGTCACCTGTTTGTATCAGTGTAACATCAGTCACCTGTTTGTATCAGTGTAACATCAGTCACCTGTTTGTATCAGTGTAACATCGGTCACCTGTTTGTATCAGTGTAACATCAGTCACCTGTTTGTATCAGTGTAGCATCGGTCACCTGTTTGTATCAGTGTAACATCAGTCACCTGTTTGTATCAGTGTAACATCAGTCACCTGTTTGTATCAGAGTAGCATCGGCCACCTGTTTGTATCAGTGTAACATCAGTCACCTGTTTTATCAGTGTAACATCGGTCACCTGTTTGTATCAGTGTAACATTAGTCACCTGTTTTATCAGTGTAACATCGGTCACCTGTTTGTATCAGTGTAACATCAGTCACCTGTTTGTATTAGTGTAACATCGGTCACCTGTTTGTATCAGTGTAACATCGGCCACCTGTTTGTATCAGTGTAACATCGGTCACCTGTTTGTATCAGTGTAACATCAGTCACCTGTTTGTATCAGTGTAACATCAGTCACCTGTTTTATCAGTGTAACATCGGTCACCTGTTTGTATCAGTGTAACATCAATCACCTGCTTGTATCAGTGTAACATCAGTCACCTGTTTGTATCAGTGTAACATCAGTCACCTGCTTGTATCAGTGTAACATCAGTCACCTGTTTGTATCAGTGTAACATCGGTCACCTGTTTGTACCAGTGCAACATCGGTCACCTGTTTGTATCAGTGTAACATCAGTCACCTGTTTGTATCAGTGTAACATCAGTCACCTGTTTGTATCAGTGTAATCGGCCAGCTACTTGTATCAGTGAAACATAGGTCACCTGTTTGTATCAGTGTAACATCAGTCACCTAAATGTATCAGTGTAACATCAGTCACCTTTTTGTATCAGTGTAACATCAGTCACCTGTTTGTATCAGTGTAACAACGGCCACCTGTTTGTATCCGTGTAACATCAGTCACCTAATTGTATCAGTGTAACATCAGTCACCTGTTTGTATCAGAGTAAGATCGGTCACCTGTTTGTATCAGTGTAACATCGGTCACCTGTTTGTATCAGTATAACATCGGTCACCTGTTTGTATCAGTGTAACATCGGTCACCTGTTTGTATCAGTGCAACATTGGTCATCTGCTTGTATCAGAGTAACATCGGTCACCATTTTGGAATAGTGTAACATCGGTCACCTTCTCGTATCAGAGTAACATAGGTCACCTGTTTGTATCAGTGTATCACCGGTCACCTGCTTGTATCAATGTCACATAGGGCACCTGCTTGTTGAACTTCTTTCAAGATGTTTTTAATTATTTTACCAACCATTTGAGGCTAATAACATTATACATGGTGCTGCACTTATTATTACCAAATACTAGGACATCACCTAAACACATACACTACAGACAGACCCGGAAGCAGCCATACGCGCAGTATTTGGTGTCAGAGGTCATATTATATCACATTGTGTGTCCACACGACTTCACTCAAGGAGGAAACTGTTGTCGAGTTTCCTTTCCGCGACTTAAATTTCCTCTGTTTTTCCCTGATGAACTTGAAGGCCATGCCGAAACTCCAAGCTCAAACTTAATAAAATTATATAAGCAGAAGAGGCTCTTTCTGTATAATATAGACCGCCATGGTAAATTTAAGTAATTTCGTTAATTTTGTGACTACTTTTCCGTGTAAATGGTTTTAAATGAATGCACCGTGATGAGTTCTGATAAACTGCTCTAGTAACGCCATCATGTCTTTAAACAGATGACTCATCGTTGGTGTCAAATACTACGTATATCGAACTTGCATCACAGTGTATAAGGTTCTCAAACATTCGGTTAAGTTCCAAGCTGTTTCTACGTGGCTCCTTCCTTGATGTGGAAGGTTGGTCCTGGTGTGGTCTGTCATAAGCAGAGTTGTCTCTCTTAGGTGTGTCAGGATCTTATGATCGAGAGTTTAAATTCCAGATTTGCCCTGATTGTGATCCTTTGATTGTCAGCACCTCAACGTTGCTCACGAAGGCTGACACTCCTGTTCGAAGCGGCGTTAAACCTCTCTGTGTATTATACACATACGGCTAATAGGCCATTGACGCCTATCCGTTTTTTGTTTACGCGTAACCGCTAAAATCGCTTTTGGTGAAAATACACTGAGGCATCCACACTTGTCCGCAGCATTATCCGTACACTTTGGATGCGTGTTCCGCATCCGTTTTTTAGGTTTTGAAATCGACTTTGCGGATACGGATCGACCTGTGGATGGAATAGCCCCTTGCTGTGACGTCATATTATATTGTATCCCCGTGGAATTCCCTTTTAGCACGTCCAAACGTGTGGATACTACGGTGAGTGAGTGAGTGAGTTTAGTTTAACGCCGCTTTTAACACTATTCCAGTTATATCGCGGCGTGTCAGCTTAATGTGGGAGGAAAGCCCGAAGTGATGCAGATCTCAGACGTTTACCACTTCGGTGAAACCCACGAGCACAGGTATGGTGCTGACAAACCTAGAAACATAATCGGGGCGAACCGGGATTCGAACCCACAATCATAGGTTTCTGGCGTGCCCAAGGGACGCAACTCTGCACCGCGAATCGTGACGCCTTAGACGACTGGGCCACCCGTGCCCCCGGATACTACGGATACGTGTCACGGGCAGTCGTGAACCCGGCTTAAACGGCCATTGTACCTCATCATTACCATAAGGCGTGATGAAATAGCTGGGTCATTGCCGGTGCGTTAACATTAGATGCCATACACAATGAAATTACTTCACTTACCTACCCGTGAAGATCCGGGGTAGAATTGGTCTCCACCAACCCATGCAACCCATGCGACTAAACTTGTTGTAAGAGGCTACTAACGGGATCGGGTGGTCAGGCTCGCTGTCTTGGTTGATGCATGTCATCGTATCCCAATTGCGTAGATCGATGCTTATCATTTCAATGACTGGATTACTGGTCCAGACTGGATTATTAACAGACCGCCGTCATATGTCGGGAATATTGCTTAGTGTGGCGTTAAACAACAAACAAACAAACCTAGCAGAAGGTTTTAAACACTCAAGTTTTAGGTTAATCTGTCATTGATGAGGGAGGCGGGCCGGTTGATCGCGGGTTGATCGCGGGCCGGTCGCTGGTTGATCGCGGGTTGATCACGGGCCGGTCGCGGGTTGGTGAAAGGTTGGTTGCGGGTCATTGGTCTTTCACAATACGTATATATGATAACAATGATACCACAATGACGTGCATTCAGTATCTTGTGAATATATACGGCGATATTAAAGTGATGTTACAATGAAAACGACAACACCCTATCCATATAAAAAAGCCAAAGACAATCATAATCAAAGAGGCCACAAGCCTATCATACTCAGTCAAACACTGAAGCCACAAGCCTATCATACTCAGTCAAACACTGAAGCCACAAGCCTTTCATACTCAGTCAAACACTGAAGCCACAAGCCTATCATACTCAGTCAAACACTGAAGCCACAAGCCTATCATACTCAGTCAAACACTGAAGCCACAAGCCTATCATACTCAGTCAAACACTGAAGCCACAAGCCTATCATACTCAGTCAAACACTGAAGCCACAAGCCTATCATACTCAGTCAAACACTGAAGCCACAAGCCTATCATACTCAGTCAAACACTGTACTGTTGAAGATGAAGGGACAAACGAAATACTTCGTATAATCCGAGGTTCGACACAACCTAAAATGATCAATAAAGAATGAATACTCTAGGACCACGAGAGAACCGTAAGTTCGACACAGCATGTTTCAACACAACGGTGTTTGACTGTAGTTAATAGAGAGCTACACGGGTGGCCCAGTCGTTTAAGGCGCCGCGATTCGCTGTGCAGAGTTGCGTCCCATGGACACGCCAGAAACCTATGATTGTGGGTTCGAATCCTGGTTCGACCCGATTATGTTTCTAGGTTTGTCAGCACCATACCCATGCTCGTGGGTTTCACCGAAGTGGTAAACGTCTGAGACCTGCATCACTTCGGGCTTTCCTCCCACATTAAGCTGACACGCCGCGATATAACTTGAATACTGTTAAAAGCGGCGTTAAAACACAACTCACTCACTCACTCACTAATAGAGAGCTAAACTGTGAACCGAACTACACATGGAAGAATACAAAGCTGAACGAGATGATAATTTAAACAATACGAGTACGTCTTCTCTGAAAACAAAAGTAATCGTCATTGAATTTTCGTTGTCTTATTGAGGATTCTATAATGTTTTGAGAAATTAAACATTCTCTGCTTAGCTTTATTTACACATATGTTTCTATGGCGCAAAGTAATTTGCCATTCGAAATATTCAGTAGTTTGAAACGGAAAGGGCGTGTGTGACTTGTTTGTTATTCCAGTAGGTCGACACCACAGCATCAAACTGTTGTTAGTTTCGCAGTTTGTTTCAAATTGTTCATATCTCCATTCCTATTGCTATTTTTCAGTTTGCAATAAATGCACAGTTACGTTTTCTTATGCATGAGTATGAAAACCACATCATTTGCAATCTTTGTTCAGAGGTCGATGTCATGGGCAGGTCTTGGACATATGCGAATATAGGTTGTACTTACATTAGAAATAAAAGAAAATCCAATTTGAGCTGACCACCGTATTGCCTTTTAGTAGAATATTAGTCTTCTCTGCCTAGTTTAACTTGCCATGGCATGCTGTGAGAATTAACATGCAAATATGATATGCATTAAATAGCATTATGACGCTTAATGTCAGATAAAGTATTATATACGGGGTATCTAATAACCTACCACTTTATTTATAAGGAAGTGTTTGCAAGCGAGCACGCGTTGAACTCGTATTTCCTAATGAAAGACCATTCCCTTATTTCCGTCCCTGTTCTCATGTATACTTCATGTATAATATCCTATGACTGTTATGAGTGAGTTGGGTTTAACGCCGCTTTTAACAGTATTCCAGTTATATCGACTTTGCGGATACGGATCGACCTGTGGATGGAATAGCCCCTTGCTGTGACGTCATATTATATTGTATCCCCGTGGAATTCCCTTTTAGCACGTCCACACGTGTGGATACTACGGTGAGTGAGTGAGTGAGTTTAGTTTAACGCCGCTTTTAACAGTATTACAGTTATATCGCGGTGTGTCAGCTTAATGTGGGAGGAAAGCCCGAAGTGATGCAGGTCTCAGACGTTTACCACTTCGGTGAAACCCACGAGCATGGGTATGGTGCTGACAAACCTAGAAACATAATCGGGGCGAACCGGGATTCGAACCAACAATCATAGGTTTCTGGCGTGCCCAAGGGACGCAACTCTGCACAGCGAATCGCGGCGCCTTAGACGACTGGGCCACCCGTGCCCCCTATGACTCTTACGATTATCATCATGATATGGAGCTATGATACACTGAATCGTCGATGATGTTCCGTTCCATAATGTAACAATACGTAACCAGTGTTACCGAGTTGCCTTGGTAATTGACAATACAGTAAACTACGGTTATAACGAACACGCTTATAACGAACGGATATAACGAACTTATTTTTTTGGACCCGACTATTTGCTGTAGTTATACTTATATATGCTTATAACGAACTACGGTTATAACGAACTAACATAAGTGGTCCCTCATTTTCAGCAATATTCCAGCAATATCACGGCGGGGAACATCAGAAATGGGCTTCACACATTGTACCCATGTGGGGAATCGAACCTGGGTATTCAGCTTGATGAGCGAACGCTTTAACCACTTAGCTACCCCACCGCCCCTGCTGGTCTATTGACTCTCTTTCACTGATTAAATGACGTGTTATAGTTATTAATTAACCACGCTTATTAATTGTCTCCATTCTTATGCAAATGGGGGGCGGTCGGGTAGCCTAGTCGTTAAAGCGTTTGCTCGTCACGCCGAAGACCCGGGTTCGATTCCCGCCGTGATATTGCTGGAATATTGCTAAAAGCGGCGTAAAACCATACTCACTCATTCACTCACTCACTCACTTATGCAAATGATTAATGACTATGGTTTCTGGGAGATTTTAGAAAGCCATAACCTCTCCCAACGCCCACTGCATACTGACTATGCAATCGTATCCTGTTAACTCAAACTTTCAAAATCTTAGCGCATGAACGCATAATCCTTGCACGGGTGTCATCGGTTTACATATCATTCTCCCTTACAACTGAAGTACTCCACGCTCAAGTGACACGTGAAGCCTGGTGCATATTGAGATAACACACAGGTTGTCTATAAATAACAACGACTTACTCTGTGCACATGGAATATACACGAACTATGCATTCTATTTACTTCAGACATAACACCTTAGAAGTGTCGCGTTGCATAACACTGTCTTTTTCATACCTGGCGGTATATTCAATGTTCATCAGCCGAGCACAATTGGGCTCATGCTCTCTGCACGGAATACATCGAGACGTGCACCAACTCAACAGATACATCGGAGTCTAAAAGAGGCAATATAAATAATATATGTGTACGCTATATTCAAGGTTGACGCTAATCGAAACGTCTTATTCTGTAGCAGTTGTTTATACACAAAAATATCGGAGTTGTTATATGATATCGCGACCGTATGAAATACATTCCATTGCAACTGATTGACAGCCACGGCCCACCTGACTGACAGAAATACGTGACACAGTAATGTACATCGACATGTCTGAGAAGTGATGGATACGACATCCCAAACTCATGCATGACAGTGAATGGGGTGGACAGTTTTACTCACCTTGTCAATATGGAGGTAATCCGACCCTATCCAGTTGTCAGTTATACCATTATGAAACTGGGGTATTTTGTTTCATGATATATTTATCCTAACTTTCCGAAACAATAACTTTCTGTAAATCCCATTTCCCCGAGATAGCAGTGTGCAAGGGCGCATGTGCAGTGTAGATATGCAAGTGTCAATATACTCCGACCAGGAAGTAATATAAGAGCTCGCATTATCAATGACATGTCCAAGCCCAAGGCATACGATAAGAATTTGACGTCTATTCTCGATAAGGGCTCGTGGACCGGAGGGCTGGCATGGGAACATGTATAATTAACACCTCTAAAGTTGCATTGCCTGTTTGGTGTTTAGTGAAGCGGAGCGTTCTGGTATACGGCAGAAATTGAAGATCGTATTCATGTGACGTAAGTTCATGAGTAGGAGCTGACTAGGACATTTGTGTATGTTCCTGGGCCGAAGCGCTTTCGGTTAAGGAGGAAGTTGTGATTGCTGGTTTGATTAATCTCACTGCCCCAAGTGCCGCTACTTAGATGTATTAATCATGCGTGTTTCTTGCTGGGTTGGCCAAATAGATTATTAAAAGCTCTATGATTCATTAGCTGATATCTTGTAGGTGGAGTTACAATTTTATCAATTTGATATATATCTCTAAGTGTCGATCAATTTATCACCCTGATAATCAATCTTATTAAAATCAGATTTCTTTACCCCAAAAGAAAAAACAAAACAATCTCTTGTGCCTGACAACAATACTTTCCGTGATAATAGCAGATTCTTTTTGTTTCTTGTTGAACACCACACTCAATAATCAAGTTATTTAACGGCGGTTTGTATATAATCGAGGCTGGACCAGACAATCCGGTGATTGACATCATGAGCGTCGATCTTCACAACTTCACAACGATAATATACTATCATTCAAGTCGGCGACTACCTGATCCACATGACATAGCTTGCTCGGGGGACAATTATTCTTACCCGAAATCTAAATACAAATGATTTTAAGATTGTGAAATTAGAAAGACTCTGCTAAAATATGTATTATGATCAGATATTATAACGTTATGCCCTTTGAGGGGAAATGCAGCTCAAAGTCCTTGTTGTTAATCTACCTACATCTTCCCGAGGCAAGAGAGTTAACTGACAATAAAAGTCCAGTTTCCACCCTTGTCGAACTAGGCTGGTATTATGGAATTACATTTTGGCTGGACTAACGAGTCTATGCATAGTCCAATCAAAATCGCGCACCGAAATTGAAATCCGGTTCGTAAACTGTCGTGCAGATTTCGGTCGATTGCAGGATTTGCAAAGCATGTGCACCACCAACTCGTTGTCAGCAGATATTTTCAAAATCTTCTCATGTTTTTAATCAAGGTGCTCACATGATTTGATGCATTTCGCGATGTAAGACCCGTTTTATCACAATATAGACATTGATAATCGATCAGATCGTCCTGACCGGGCGCAACCATTTTGTGTGAAGCAAACGCAAGTGATACGAGAGGTGGAATCTGATTGGTCCTTAGGAGAGGCTTAGAAGGGACATAATTGGTAATAGCCACTGGTGGCGCTACGATCGAGCCTAGTATTTCCAGCCTAGTTCGGCAAGGGTGGAAACTGGACTTTTAAAGTCAGTTAACTCTCTTGCCTCGGGAAGATGATCTACCTACTGAAGGGACATCAATACTCTACGGGTACTTTTGTTCGCCGTGTAGAGTTGCGTCCTTTAGGCATGCCGGGCATCGGATCCCGGTTCGTGCTGCGTATGTTTCTAGGTTTGTCAGCACCATGCTCGTGGTCGTGGGTTTCACCAAAGTGGTAGTCGTCTGCGATGCTGGGGATCCGGGGTAGAATAGGTCTTCAGAAACCCATGCTTGCCATAAAAGGCGACAGCATGTAAGAGGCTACTAACGGGTGGTCGGGCACGCTGACTTGGTTGTCATCGTATCCCAATTGCGTGGATCGATGCTCATGATGTCAATAAACTGGAATGTATGGTCCAGACTCGATTATTTACAGACCGCCGTCATATGTCTGGAATATTGCTGAGTGCGGCGTTAAACAACAAACGAACGAACGAACGTCTACGATGCCAGGGATCCCCTACAGCATCAAGCTGATATAATTGGAATTCTGTCCAAAGAGGCGTTGAACCATCCCACTCATTCACCTAATCTTACTACATGTATTGAGAGAAAAAACATATTTATTCAAATCGAAACCTTGCTATCATACGGTGTGTGATTGCATGTGTACTATTTTCTAGATTTTGTTGTTATACCACTGGGTGAGTTCTTCAACACGATTAGCCAAATAGTCTATCTATCTTAGACGGTATTATGTTTGAAGGCAGAGGTACATTGTTAAGCTTCCGGGTACATTCTCTCGACCAACTGTTTCATGGAACTACATCCATTTGCTAAGTGGAGTCATGCTATTGCAACATTCACAACACACTTCTTTTCTTCACCTTTATTCCTACACCCCGGCCCTACTCCTATACAGGAGAATATCGCGCTTTTGTAGAAGCCTTGACTTGGCGAGAGTTAACTGACTGTGTGTGAGAGTCAACTGATCCCGTGTGAGAGTCAGCTGATCCTGTGTGAGAGTGAACTGATCCTGTGTGAGAGTGAACTGATCCTGTTTGAGAGTCAGCTGATCCCGTGTGAGAGTGAACTGATCCTGTGAGAGAGTCAGCTGATCCCGTGAAAGAGTCAACTGATCCCATGAGAGAGTTAACTGATCCTGTGTGAATCAACTGATCCTGTGTGAGAGTCAACTGATCCCGTGAGAGAGTGAACTGATCCTGTGTGAGAGTCAGCTGATCCCGTGAGAGAGTCAACTGATCCTGTGTGAGAGTCAGTTGATCCCTTGAGAGAGTGAACTGATCCCGTGTGAGAGTCAGCTGATCCCGTGAAAGAGTGAACTGATCCTGTGTGAGAGTCAGCTGATCCCGTGTGAGAGTCAACTGATCCAGTGTGAGAGTCAACTGATCCTGTGTGAATCAACTGATCCCGTGTGAGAGTCAACTGTTCCTGTGAGAGTCAACTGATCCTGGTTGAGAGTCAACTGATCCCGTGTGAGAGTCAACCGAGCCCGTTTTAGCGTCAGCTGATCCTGTGTGAGAGTCAACTGATTCCGTGTGAGAGTCAACTGATCCTGTGTGAGAGTCAGCTGATCCCGTGACAGAGTCAACTGATCCCGTGAGAGAGTGAACTGATCCTGTGTGAGAGTCAGCTGATCCCGTGAGAGTCAACTGATCCTGTGAGAGAGTGAACTGATCCTATGTGAGAGTCAGCTGATCCCGTGAGAGAGTGAACTGATCCTGTGTGAGAGTCAGCTGATCATGTGAGAGTGTGAACTGATCCTGTGTGAGAGTCAGCTGATCCCGTGACAGAGTCAACTGATCCCGTGTGAGCGTCAGCTTATCCTGTGTGAGTCAACTGATCCTGTGTGAGAGTCAACTGATCCCGTGTGAGAGTCAACTGATCCCGTGAGAGTCAGCTGATCCTGTGAGAGAGTCAACTGATCCTGTGTGAGAGTCAACTGATCCTGTGTGAGAGTCAGTTGATCCCGTGAGAGAGTGAACTGATCCTGTGTGAGAGTCAGCTGATCCCGTGACAGAGTCAACTGATCCCGTGTGAGCGTCAGCTTATACTGTGTGAGTCAACTGATCCTGTGTGAGAGTCAACTGATCCCGTGTGAGAGTCAATTGATCCCGTGAGAGTCAGCTGATCCTGTGAGAGAGTCAACTGATCCTGTGTGAGAGTCAACTGATCCTGTGTGAGCGTCAACTGATCCTGTGAGAGAGCCAACTGATCCTGTGAGAGAGCCAACTTATCCTGTGAGAGAGCCAACTGTTCCTGTGAGAGTCAACTGATCCCGTGAGAGTCAGCTGATCCTGTGAGAGAGTCAACTGATCCTGTGTGAGAGTCAACTGATCCTTTGTGAGAGTCAGTTGATCCCGTGAGAGAGTGAACTGATCCTGTGTGAGAGTCAGCTGATCCCGTGACAGAGTCAACTGATCCCGTGTGAGCGTCAGCTTATACTGTGTGAGTCAACTGATCCTGTGTGAGAGTCAACTGATCCCGTGTGAGAGTCAACTGATCCCGTGAGAGTCAGCTGATCCTGTGAGAGAGTCAACTGATCCTGTGTGAGAGTCAACTGATCCTGTGTGAGCGTCAACTGATCCTGTGAGAGAGCCAACTGATCCTGTGAGAGAACCAACTTATCCTGTGAGAGAGCCAACTGTTCCTGTGAGAGTCAACTGATCCCGTGAGAGTCAGCTGATCCTGTGAGAGAGTCAGCTGATCCTGTGTGAGAGTCAACTCATCCCGTGTGAGAGTCAACTGATCCTGTGAGAGAGCCAACTGATCCTTTGTGAGAGTCAACTGATCCCGTGTGAGAGTCAACTGATCCCGTGAGAGTCAACTTAACCTGTGTGAGAGTCAACTGATCCTGTGTGAGAGTCAACTGATCCCGTGTGAGAGTCAACTGATCCTTTGTGAGAGTCAACTCATCCCGTGTGAGAGTCAACTGATCCTGTGAGAGAGCCAACTGATCCTTTGTGAGAGTCAACTGATCCCGTGTGAGAGTCAACTGATCCCGTGAGAGTCAGCTGATCCTGTGAGAGAGTCAACTGATCCTGTGTGAGAGTCAACTGATCCTGTGTGAGCGTCAACTGATCCTGTGAGAGAGCCAACTGATCCTGTGAGAGAGCCAACTTATCCTGTGAGAGAGCCAACTGTTCCTGTGAGAGTCAACTGATCCCGTGAGAGTCAGCTGATCCTGTGAGAGAGTCAACTGATCCTGTGTGATAGTCAACTGATCCTTTGTGAGAGTCAGTTGATCCCGTGAGAGAGTGAACTGATCCTGTGTGAGAGTCAGCTGATCCCGTGACAGAGTCAACTGATCCCGTGTGAGCGTCAGCTTATACTGTGTGAGTCAACTGATCCTGTGTGAGAGTCAACTGATCCCGTGTGAGAGTCAACTGATCCCGTGAGAGTCAGCTGATCCTGTGAGAGAGTCAACTGATCCTGTGTGAGAGTCAACTGATCCTGTGTGAGCGTCAACTGATCCTGTGAGAGAGCCAACTGATCCTGTGAGAGAGCCAACTTATCCTGTGAGAGAGCCAACTGTTCCTGTGAGAGTCAACTGATCCTGTGAGAGTCAGCTGATCCTGTGAGAGAGTCAGCTGATCCTGTGTGAGAGTCAACTCATCCCGTGTGAGAGTCAACTGATCCTGTGAGAGAGCCAACTGATCCTTTGTGAGAGTCAACTGATCCCGTGTGAGAGTCAACTGATCCCGTGAGAGTCAACTTAACCTGTGTGAGAGTCAACTGATCCTGTGTGAGAGTCAACTGATCCCGTGTGAGAGTCAACTGATCCTTTGTGAGAGTCAACTCATCCCGTGTGAGAGTCAACTGATCCTGTGAGAGAGCCAACTGATCCTTTGTGAGAGTCAACTGATCCCGTGAGAGTCAACTGATCCTGTGTGAGAGTCAACTGATCCTGTGTGAGAGTCAACTGATCCCGTGTGAGAGTCAACTGATCCTTTGTGAGAGTCAACTGATCCTGTGTGAGAATATGATGTTAACATTTTATAACAGGCATGGGGGTAACGCTTCAGAATCATACGAAGGAGGCTACACCAATATTTTAACACCTACTGAAACAGATTATACACAGATTAAAAGGCCAACTTCGCCCCCCAAAAGACCCTTGTTTGTGCTTGTTTTCCCAGTTTCAAAACATCTTTCTAAAAATGAACTTTGTGCATTTGCTATAGATTTTGTGTATATATGACCCAATATTTCAAATAAAGCAACATTTGTCTTCAAAGATATATCTGGATAAATTTTCATAAGTTGAAATAACAGAAAACATAACTTTCTGGCATGTAATGAAATAGTGTCGCCAGCTTTAACACAAGCAGATTAACCAAGAAGAAAATGTAATCCCCAGGTATTTATAATGTGAAGTTGCTCACATTTCTACAGATTTATAAAACCATTTTTCCACCTTTTTTAGAAACCCACTATTTCTGAAAACAGTAATATTTGATTTGTCCATATTTACCTCCATTGCCCATTTATTTCTATATAATTCAAATATCGTAGGACATCATCATTTGCAAAGAGCAGCCGCTGAATTGTTTTAATAACTGCCACTTACAAAAATGTCCCTGCATTCACTTGCCTCAATTTCAGACACTAATTGATTGATAAAGAGGATAAACAATACTGGGCTCAACATACAGCCCTGTCTTACACAACAAGAGGTGTTAAAAACGTCCGATCTACAATAACTTATGTAGCACAACAAACAAAACGTTCTATGGTTTCATCAGCTTTAATAATAAGGACTCTCTATACGCTGGTACTACTAACAGTTAGCAAGGGCGTGGCGGAGACTGTGAGAGATGCTATGGGCAGTTTCAGGCGTACCCAGTGTGACTGGAGCTCGTCCCAGTGTGCTGGCCTTCTGAGCGGTGACTTGACTGTTAGCTGTTGGCCGTTGGCTTGTGTTCTTATGCCGTTTCTTCTGGACTGCTCTGTCGGTCTGGTCCTGTTCAGTGTTCAGCGCCCTTCTCTGCCTCTCTCTCTCTGCCGACTTCACTGACGGTGCTGATTATATAGGGGTTTCTTAACTGATTAGTTGTGACCCTCAAATCTTTAGGGGGGTCAAAACAAGTTCGTGGTACAATAAACTGGAAACTCTTGGTCAGCAACTGTCCGATCTATGACCACCACCTGGGCATTTAATGACACTCAAATCTTTAGGGGGGTCAAAACAAGTTCGTGGTACAATAAACTGGAAACTCTTGATCAGCAACTGTCCGATCTATGACCATCACCTGGTCATTAAATACAAGAACGCATGGAGGGTGTCTCCTTTCCTACCATGGGTCAGTAACTGTTTCTTCTGGTGATCACAATGGGTCAGTAACTGTTTCTTCTGGTGATCACAATGGGTCAGTAACTGTTTCTTCTGGTGATCACAATGGGTCAGTAACTGTTTCTTCTGGTGATCACAATGGGTCAGTTACTGTTTCTTCTGGTGATCACAATGGGTCAGTAACTGTTTCTTCTGGTGATCACAATGGGTCAGTAACTGTTTCTTCTGGTGATCACAATGGGTCAGTAACTGTTTCTTCTGATGATCACAATGGGACAGTAACTGTTTCTTCTGGTGATCACAATGGGTCAGTTACTGTTTCTTCTGGTGATCACAATGGGTCAGTAACTGTTTCTTCTGGTGATCACAATGGGTCAGTAACTGTTTCTTCTGGTGATCACAATGGGTCAGTTACTGTTTCTTCTGGTGATCACAATAAGCCCACCTGTCTACACAGCCTCTGGCCACACTGGATAGTGTTACACTTATGTTCACACATGCAAAGCATTTTAATACATATTTTCAGTAACTTTATGCATTGTACCCTGAACGCCTTTTTGAATAAGTACATACAACAGTTTCTCTCCATCAACAAAATCAAACGGCTTCCTAAAATCTATAAAGGCGGCATAGAAGAGATGTTTTGGTTTTCTTGAATACTGTTAACACAATGCCTGCAGAACAAAAATATTATCAGTTGTTGAATGATCCTCTCTAAATCCAGCTTGGGATTTCGTTGATATCAGCCTATGATCTAAGTCTATGTTCAACAACAGAAGTAAATAATTTTCCATTACATTTAGGAGAGATATTCCTCTATAATTGTTAGGATTTGTTGAGCAACAATAATTATAAGACCAATATTCCAAGCTAAAGGGAAAGTCCCTGTCTTTAACATACCGTTGAAAGGGAGATTTAAGTATGGGACAATATTCACATTATATGTTAAGAACCGGGTTGGTATTCCATCCGATCCAGGTGCCTTACCCATTTTAAAAGTTTTCAGTACTTTTCTTATTTCCTCATCTGTTATCACATCGTATCATTACATGTCTCGCAATGTAGAGGGATCATGATGTGTGGTGAAATCTGAGACAGATTTATCAAACTCATTATTTGAAACTTGTTTAGGATTTAAAAGTTCATGAAAGTAGGTAACCCATGCAGACGGCGGCATCCTAACGTTTCGGGTGCGACACTGTGATAAACGTTTGATACAACCCCAGAAGGTTTTGCACGTTTTAATTAGTAGTGCAAAAGTTATGGACTCAATCGTTTTTTGCTTAAAAAACTCTTGCTTTTCATAACATAAATTTCGAAAATTTCATTCAGATTCAGGGAATATGAAATCAAATGTAGGGAACTTTTTTGTTTTCGAAGATGTAGACGTTTTATTTCAACATTTTTTTATACATTACATTCATTATCAAACCATTGAGGTTGATTATGATTTCAGGTGAGAGTCAACTTAATTAATTAATAACTCGATCTGTGATGAGTCAGAGTCCTCTGTGGCGATTTTTTATTTTTTTATTTTTTTTTATTCAGTCATATACACAGGATACATAAGCACTAGGAAAGCAATACAGCTTTATGAATACAGGTACTTCTCAAAAGGATATGGTACAGAGGAGGCCTAAGGCATAATCCACATCATGGTACAGATGAAGGCATAATCCACATCATGGTACAGATGAAGGCATATTTATGTATACAATTAAGAAGATGCGGTATTTATGGTACATCAAATTATGTTGCAAACATCAAGTGAATAAGTTATTTTGCAGTTTGAGCCTCTGTGGCGAGTTACTGTGTTACTGAATAGCGATACAATTAAGGGCCTGCAAAGGGAACATCATTTAGACAGATGGTCAAGACCAAACCTAACCCGGATCTTCAGGGGTGAGATTATCATAGCCCTCAGCAGGCATCGATGCCATATCTCAACTGGCACGACCCCAACCTCCCGCCCTGTAGCAGGGGCGGATCCAGGATCTTAAAGAAAAGGGAGGGTTCCACTTGGGACATTTATTAATAATTTTACTTTAACAAACCAAATCAACATGTTATCACGGAAGGAAAGGCGCATACAAAATGTCATCAGATGTCCAAAAAGGGTGCAAGTGTGTGTGGCTGCACTACGTTTGTTAGCGGTAACCCAATTTGCCATTCTTATCTCCCTTTGATGGAAGGAACGAAAACGGGCGAAAAGAAAAACAACAATTTTTGTTCGTTGTTGGTATGTTGAACTTTACTCGTACTCGTACAAAATTGATGTTGAATTGTGTTAATACAAATAATCATTATAGAAAATATAAGGAGCTGAATGCTTGCATATTTGATGTCTAATGATAAGCACAACCGATATTTATTTTTACGATTTTTAGTCTCCAGTTCAATAACCTAAAACCTGACACCCTACACGAAGACCAAACCGTAATAACGTGAACAAGAGGGCTATGCCACTCTGCAAACAAATGGATTTATTAGACCATATCAGCCCCGTGGGGATTCCAGTTTAGAACAAGTGCCAGCAGCCTGCGCGGGTCGAAGAGGTAACGAAGTGGATCGGTTGGTCATGGTCGGTGACTTGATTGATTGAGTATTGATCATTCGTTGTGTAATCGTTGCTCATTGTATCATTGTATGATCTGGTCAATACTTTGCTTGAGTGGGCCTATATGCAGCTGGCATATAGCTGGAGTATTGCAGAGTGTGGCAAACAAACACACTGTAACAAGTGTGTGTGTGTGTGTGTGTGTGTGTGTGAGTAAGCTGTTACATTGCTTTTCAAAATTATATGCCAGCAATGTCACAGCTGGGGACACAGTACTTAGTTTGACACATTGTATCTATGTCGTGAATCGAATCCAGACCATATGCATGATGAGCATGATGAGTGTGGACACTTCCCCACTTTCACCCCACTGCAGTGTGAAGCTCGGTGTTTGCAGGCTCAGCCTATATGAGGGTCCTCATTGGGGTGTCATAAGTCGATAGTCAGTAAAATTTGGGGCCTAAATGTAAAATGGAAAACCAGTTTGCGATGTTTTTATTGACTAAGCTAAAAAATCAATGCAATGCCTACTGAGTTAGTAGGCATTAAATTTTCAGCTTGGTCAATAAAAATGTTGCAAACCGTTTTTCTGTATCATTGAAAGGTGTTTCAAAAGGTATGATATTTTGTTCATGACTTTGAATTGTGAACAACACCAGAAGAAAGTGTAGACCATGAGTTACATTATCTAAGATGGAGTAACACTTTGCTTTTACTGAAGTAGAATGTATCAGCATGAAGGAAAGCAGAACTTTTGTGAATCATTCACCTGAATAGAAATCAAATACTTGTAGGCCTATATGTGTTGAATGTGGATTGTGAGTTTCTCTACATAAGGAAACATGGGGACAGTTGGTTATGCTTTTTTTTCATGACTCTAATTCGTGTTTTGCAAATACCTCACGACCCGTGAAGATCCGGGGTACAATACGTCTTAAGCAATCCATGCTTGGCATAAGAGGCGAATATGCTTGACATAGAGGCGTTATTTTTTTGTTTTTTTCAATGCCGCACTCAGCAATATTCCAGCTATATGATGGCGGTCTGTAAATAATCGAGTCTGGACGAGATGATCCAGTGATTGACATCATGAGTATCAACTCATGCAGTTGGGATACAATGACATGCATGAACCGACGATCCTGTTCATCGCCTATTCATAAGCATGGGTCGCTGAAGAATTATTCTCCCCCGGATCTTCACTCACCATAGTCACAATCAGTGGAGCATGTCAAGCAATGAGGATTGGTGTATAAACATGATGTTAAGTTAAATAAATTATACATAAGGCGTGACATCTGTTCATTCAGGAATGCAGGGTTGTGTAGAATAAAGTGTCAGTCATTTTGACACAAGTATTGTTGCCATGAAATGATGCATGTCGAATCAGCTCATTTCTGGGATTCTGGGATTCTGGGTTAGAATCAGTCGTCGGCAACCTATTCGTGTTGTTTGAAGCGAATGTATTGATCGGATGGTCATGCTTGGAGACTTAGTGATTTGTGTTTCAGCAAACCGTAAAGATGTGGGATGTGGCACTTAATTACTTTTGAAAATTGATACTGAATTTAAACATAAATCAATACATAGGCAGGTGTATCATCTTTTGTATCTTCGGGTGTTCAATGTATAGGTGAATAGGGACACCACTGATATAATATAGTATAGATTTTTAAACTTATCCTATCTCACACTATGCATTGGTCTTGGTTTGGAAACTTCCTAGAACAAAGTTTCCAGCTTCAAAAACACCACTCACCCAAACACATCCCATACATCACAAAATCACCACTGTGATCATGGTTCACGTACCACTAAAATCCTGTGCGACACGACCCCAGCGACCAGATCACCTGACATATCCAGCACCCTCATTCTCAATTCTATCGCTATGGTGTTCGGACGTTATACTTGAACAGAGAATGTTTTTAATTTTTTGTATTTATAAAATTTAAATACACAACTTCACTACTAAAGTTTTTTTAATTTTTTTTTTATAAATTTTTATTCAGTCATATACACAGAATACATATGCACTCGGAAAGCAATACAGCTTTATGAATACAGGTACTTCTCAAAAGGATATGGTACAGAGGAGGCCCAAGGCATAATCCACATCATGGTACAGATGAAGGCATAGACTTCACTACTAAAGTTTACCTTTACCACGAAGAGTGTGTGGTATTAACAACAATGTCTACTGTGTACCACCTTGTCAGAATTGGATCTCAACTTACTTAGCTAAGTGTTCGATAAAGGCGACTGTTCGTTGGTTCAAGGCGTTGTTTACGGTTTTCATGCATGTTGTTTTTTCCTCCGCTTTGAAACCCAAACGGTTGTGTTATCCCCTGTGGCTGTACCTTCGTTTTTCTTGCTTTACAAGATATTAGTCAATTCGGCGATGGTTACATCGCTGTCCGTTGAGGAGGATCGCTTTCCGTCTCATTTGACTGCTGCGATTCCACGCCCCTGTGCACGTGTCTGCTACCTGGCTTCTACAGTCATCTCGCTTTTAAATGGCCAGTACATGTTCTGTCATCTGTATCCCTTCACCTAGAGTAACTTTTAGTAAATGAAATTTTATTAAACAAATAATTTCCCGATGCCTATACATATGTGAAATAAAGCTAGCTAGAACTGGCTAAATATGCCTTTGTATGCATATCTAGTTTGTTGTTTTGTTTGTTGTTGTTGTTGTTTCTCACATAAAATAACAATATTCCACAGTCATCATGTTGGATTACGGCCCTTTACCCAGCTTGGGAAGTCAAGCTGTAAACTGAGGGTTGCCTCTTCCCCCAACACGCTTGTTACTCGGATCATCACTTCTGCAGCGCTCTGAGGATACAGCTACACCTCTCCGGCTTTCTTATGGCGACAACCCTTCTGACCGTAAACTCTACAATCGTCGGCGAGGAAATGATAGCCGATTGACGACGGATCTTCACTCACAGGATCGTCATCCTTCGCTGGATCGTAAACGACCAAGTGATCAAGGGATCGACAGATCGCCATGCTTGACCATTATCGACAAGACGCTGTTCTTCGATGGACATTTCCCCAAATCGTACCTCGGAGGATCGACAGTTTCGCCTTTTCTACAGATCGATACCCGAGGGATCTCCACTAGACGTTACACATGGATGCATCGACACATGGACTACCATGTCGACAGTTCAACAGATAGTACCTTGGAGAATCGACAGGAGCATCATTCTTCGTTGGATCATAGACGTCCGAGGGATCGACAGATCGACAGATCACCTCACTTCACCATTATCGACATACTTCACCAATATCGACAAGATGCTGATATTGGATGGACAGTTCGTCTGATCGTACCTCGGAGGAATGATAGTTTCGCCCCTCCTACAGATCGATACCGAGGGATCTCCACTCTACGATACACATCGATGCATCAACACATCGTCCGATCTAGTACTCGTCCGCTAGTACGACTTTACCTGCAGGAAGCCTCGGTGGCTGAGATCGCTGACTTTGTATGCTGGCGATTAGGTCCCGTACTCTTGCAGTGTGGGTTTGAATCCCGGACGGGACTCAACCCCATAAAGTACGAGCATATGTACTTTACTGAGAAGATGTTATCCCAGATATAACTTTGGTTATATAAAACGTCCTCAGTCATTAGATTGTCATTCTCCCGTTGAATCAATAGACCTCTCTCTCATCGTGCATCAGACTTCTATATGCAAACTTGGACAAGGCCTTCGCTGCTTTCCGTTGTCTAGATCAGACAATCCAGTGGTTGTCATCATGAGCATCTGTCTACGTCTTGGAATACGATGACCTGCACCAACCATATCAGCGAACTTGACCAACTGGCATAGTCACCTCGTATGGCGAGCTTGAGATACTGACGTCTCTTCTCTACCTGGATCTTCATGGATCCGGTCTATGTGCCTGCCAGCCATGAATCGTCTTACGATACTCTCCTATGAGAAATCACCATTACAAGGTTATGACGCTTGAGACAACGCGCTCCCCCTTTTCAGATTTGAATCGTCAAACAGACGACATCATCCTGAGACTTGATATCATCGCAGCCGACCTTTATCATCGACACTGATCTTTATCATCGATGCCTTCAATTTCAGCCTGATATTCCATTACAGGTTATGACTTCCACCTTGGCGTTGCATAGTGTTGTTCTGGCGTTCTGATATGGTCTTTGCCTCCTACTCCTTTCTGAATCTCAGTCGCCGACGTTCAAGGTCATAGCAGTCACACAGGGCAGATGAGGAAGCCCAGCGGACTACAAGTCCCAAGCCTTGTTTCCTGTATATACTGCAATATTTTCATTTATTGCTTATGTTAATCGGGTTTCCCAGACAAGCTCCCAGAGGGAGGGTATATATGCTTGTCTGTTGGGACTTCGGTCTACGTCAATAGAAGCCACCATCCGGTGAGGCCATTTGTTTAAATGGTTTCCAGATCTTCTACCTGCTCACCTCTGTCTTTGCGCATGTGATGTCTCAGTAGTTGATTGAAGACCTGTGTGATAAACGGGTATTGTCGATCGTTTCCTCTTCTCGTTCTTACCTTATTCAATCTCTAAGTGAGTTTGATAGGGCGATGAAGCGAAAAAAGAGATGCCTAGCTGGTCTGCCTTACATCCTTGGGAGCGTATGTGTGAGGTCTGTCTTGTAGAACCTACGCCGTTTCAAACACCTCCTCCTATCCGGGGTGAGGTTAAGTCGTGACCAAGTAGGTGTCGCCTAGCTCATGGTTACGCGATCATTCCTGGAACGGCGTCCTGTGTGAAACCAGGGAACACATGATTCCCCGATGTCATGATGTATATCTCTTGGTAGCACAAAGAGGGTTTTTTGAAGCAACACGAGTTTATCACTAATCCCTGTAAAATCCTTTGAATTTTCCTCATTAGTTCCAGCTTCCTCATGTTTATATGTTACAGGTGTCACAATATGTTGATATATAACAGGTGTTACAATATGTTTACATATAACAGGTGTCACAATATGTTCACATATAACAGGTGTCACAGTACATTTATATATAACAGGTGTCACAATATGTTTATTAATAACAGGTGTTACAATATGTTTACATATAACAGGTGTCACAATATGTTTACATATAACAGGTGTCACAGTACATTTATATATAACAGGTGTCACAATATGTTTATATATAACAGGTGTCACAATATGTTTATATATAACAGGTGTCACAATATGTTTATGTATGACAGGTGTCACAGTACATTTATAGATAACAGGTGTCACAATATGTTTATATATAACAGGTGTCACAATATGTTTATGTATGACAGGTGTCACAGTACATTTATAGATAACAGGTGTCACAATATGTTCATATTTAACAGGTGTCTCAATATGTTTATATCTGTATATATGACAGCTGTCACAGTACATTTATAGATAACAGATATCACAATGTGTTTATATATAACAGATATCACAATGTGTTTACATGTGACAGATGTCACAATGTGTTTATATATAACAGATATCACAATGTGTTTATATATAACAGATATCACAATGTGTTTATATATAACAGATATCACAATGTGTTTACATATGACAGATGTCACAATATGTTTATATATAACAGATATCACAATATGTTTATATATAACAGGCTTCACTTATACTTAGTAACCCACTTCATCTTAACTTTTTATCCGCCCCTCGTATTTTGTGTTGTTTTTATTGAAAGTTTCCATGATCCATGTGGCCTGGCTTACCAGAGATTGTTGCTATTAACCAGTTTGTGTGTAGCTTGCCTGACTGGTTACCATACTGATGTATTCAGGGATCGATTTCGCTGTATCTAGCTGCACCAGTGCAGGTAAAACATTGCTAGTGCAGGTAACTTGAATTGCCAGGTTGCACCAAGTGCAGGTGACATTGCCCACCACAAGTGCACGGCAGCAGTTATATTTGATAAAAGTGGAAACTTAATTCTTTTAGAACTTGCTGCAAATCATTTAGAATCCAGGAAACAAAAGTTCGTGAAAATAATGAAATACACAGGTCAGAATGCAGCGAAGATACAGAACTAATTCTTCACATTTACCACTAGAACAGTGACTCATGAGGTTACATCACGACAGAGGGACACTTTCACACTTCTGTTTAAGGTTGTTTACTGGATATCAAGATATCTACAGATTTCCTGAAAATAAAGTACTGGAGCACATTCTAAAGTTTATTTTCTCTTTGACTTTATTTAATCTTCAAAATAACTAAAAATACATTGTTTCAATTTATGATAAAATGGTGCAGCCAATATTTAGGTGGTGCAACCTTATTAATTCACTTGGTTGCACTTGGTGCTGGTGGAAAAACAATGAAATCGTACCCTGTTGTATAGACTCATTCTGATGGCAATAATATTAGTATGCTTTTTAGCATTTCGTCAGGTGGTAAGGGAATGACGACTTGTACTTGTCAGGCCGGCTTATTGCAAAAACTTGTAAATAATTCTTTTTGAAAATCAATACCTAATCATGATAATCAAAACATGATCTGATACATGCCATGGTACTCATATCATGTATGATGACTATTTTGCATGACGCTGATAATGTATTGTGATGATGATTGTTATTCTGTTGCAGAAGCCTGTAAACATGCTAGCTGCCATCACTACATTCGCAGAATCATGTTTTCCTGCCAACTGGGCAGGTATTTTCAAGTCATCTTCTTAACCATTGTTGCTGTTGTGGTCCTGTCCATCGTCTCCATCCTCTATGTCATCAACGTAATGTCCCTGGGTGAAACTGTCCGTCCCACAAGGATTGCCAGCCAGTTTGCAGGTCAGTTGGTCAAGTGAGAGCCAGAGTGAGGTGGGCCCTTGTAGGGGACACAACTCTGCACAGCAATTGAAAGATTATGACTTCTAATCCAAGCTCCTTCCCAGCGTGTGACACCTTTGTTACACCCTCAGTAACATTGCTGCCCTCAGTGTGGGCGCAGCCATTACAAGAATCTTAAAATTTGCCCTTTAACCCCAAATGTAGTCACGTTTATACTTTTTTTTATGTCTTACGGAATGCCACCATAGTGAATTTTGAAAAGGTTTACAACTGATCACATTTCCCAGATGAATTTGCCATTTTGTATGTTTAATCAGATCGGTTTCGAGATTGCAGACAAACGGAAATCACCCAACTTCTTCCCTTCATTCATACTATACGAATTACATTATCATGGAAATGATATAGAAATTCAAATTGACGAAGAAAGAAAGTAATTCAGCTAGTGTAAGAGTATTCTGCGTCATGGCAGTCATCACTGGTTTGTAAACATAATGGTCAGTCGATTGGGAGTGGTTGTAGCCACCTATCACAGTGGGGAGATTTGACTGGTGGCAGCGATAGTATTGAGAACTCAGCGAATGGGCTATCACTGTGAGGAGCTTGCACCTTATCATGCTAAGGGATGCAACTCTGCACTGAGAGTTGTTCTTGAATTATCATCCCTGTTTATGAAAGAAAGGTGTGTGAAAGATTTTGACTTTGTGAAAGATTATGACGATATTTTAGGAGAAATGTAGGAGGACACACACAGTTTGTGTATTGGTCTAACGTGTCTATTGATGCTGCATAGTAAATTGTGCGCAGCTTGTTGCACACTTTCCACAACTTGTGTGAAATGTTTGTGTGAGTGGAAATTGTGGAAAATATGAAAATGTTTAGTTTCAGGTTTGTTTCAGCATCATTATCAGCATTCAGTGTCATTAATGCGAACAAAGACCACTCACATTTATGAGGTCGGTCTGACGTGACCTGTAATGGGATGTCCTCAGATCTTTGTTTAGCGGTAGCGAGAACTAAGATCTGGTTTTAATGAGATTGGATGCCTACCTGCACTCAGTAACTAGGATCTGTAAGGACAGACACACACAGAAGCTGAAAAGGCTACAGTGGAAAATTGCGCACAGTGCGGATATGCTATTTATATTTTTGTCATTCATATTTGTACACTAGCAACTCAAAATAATTGTGAATTTGTGATTTTGTTTGCATATTTTATGCTGTGACCAGTTGATTCACTGTGTCTCCATTCTTGTGCAGGTTTGAAGTCCCTCAAGTCCAAGAAATCACAGCACAGAGACAGCTGTGAGAGATGTCTGCGACCTGTGGCCAGGGACGGAGTGGAGGACCTCTTCTGTATGGTGAGAGAACTGACCAGTTGTATGACCATCCCCACAGTTAATGAAGAAATAAATGACGAGTGGGAGTTGTTTATCATACATTGAAACACTACAAGGAGAATAAACCATGAGAGGCAAAGCCCCAAGTGGTTTATTCTCCCTAGTGTTTTATTGTACTGACAAGTTGGGTTTAAGACATTTTTTTAGCCCTGATCATACGGGTATCATAAAATATGGGAGTTACAATGTCATACAGGAATCACAATGTCAGTCAGGAATCATGACATGACATGGGTGTCATGACATTCAGGAAGTGTGACATGACATGGGTGTCATGACATCTTGGAATCATGACATGACATGGGTGTCATGACATTCAGGAATGACATGACATGGGTGTAATGACATTTGGGAATCATGATATCTAATGGGTGTCATGACATTCAGGAATTGTGACATCACATGGGTGTTATGACATTTGGGAATTATGACATGACATGGGTGTCATGATATCCTGGAAGCATTACATCTCATTGGTGTCATGACATTTGGGAATCATGACATCCCATGGTGTCATGACATTTGGGAATCATGACATCCCATGGGTGTCCTGACATTTGGGAATCATGACATCCCATGGGTGTCATGACATTTTGGAATCATGACATGACACGGGTATCATGACATTTTGGGAATCATGACATGACATGGGTGTCATGACATTCTGGAATCATGACATCTCATGGGTGTCATGACATCTGGGAATCATGACATCACATGGGTATCATGATATTTGGGAATTGTGACATCACATGGATATCATGATATTTGGGAATTGTGACATCACATGGGTATCATGATATTTGGGAATCATGACATCTCATGGGCGTCATGACATCTGGGAATCGTGACATCACATGGGTATCATGATATTTAGGAATCATGACATCACATGGATATCATGACTTATCATGACATTCGGGAATCATGCCATCACATTGGTATCATGACATTTGGGAATCATGACATATCATGACATTTGGGAAACATGACATCTCATGGGTATCATGACATTCGGGAATCATGATGTCACATGGGTATCATGACATTTGGGAAACATGACATCTCATGGGTATCATGACATTCAGGAATCAGACATCTCATGGGTATCATGACATTCGGGAATCATGACATGACATGGGTATCATGACATTTGGGAATCATGACATATGACATTTGGGAAACATGACATTTCATGGGTATCATGACATTCGGGAATCATGATGTCACATGGGTATCATGACATTTGGGAATCATGACATCAAATGGATCTCAATGTTGACATGCTGCCTGACTGTTCCAGGATCGACCCGCTTTCCTCAAACAGCTGAAGAACCCCTGCTGGTTTGAGGACGAGAAGCTTCGATGTTTGCCATACTTTCACATCCTGGGCTGTGCCAAGTGTGCCACGACGGACTTGAGCAGACGCATCACCCTCCATCCTGACATCGTGAACCCGGATGCCCCCTTTGATAAGGAAGCCTTATGGTGGACATGGAGGAAATATGGTATTCTAGATCATAAAAAAGAGAAAAAACGTCCCGGGACAGCAATCATAATAAGTTTGTAATTTACAGAATTAATTACTTTGAAACCGGTCCCCTGATTTCATTTCAAAATTCTTGACTGTTTCTAGAGAGCCAGTTTCCAGTTTCTGTTTGAACACAGAGCCATGGTGGAACATGTTATCTGTGGTTTGTTCTCGGCATTGGGTCTTGATGGTTTGGGTTTTATTAACATCAATTATGTTCGTATAACTTAAACTTGTAGCAAATGTTGGAGGTAAGTTTATGCACACTGAAGTGTTCAATGCACCAGTAAATCTGCCAACACTGTTTAACATTTCATACAACATCATTGAAATCAGACCTTTGACTCCAATATGATACCAGAGTAAAGATCTGACATACCCTGCCTTGGAGGTTGTGTCTAAACCAGCTTGTCTACGTTGAGGTTCTAAATTCTTGGTTCAAGCAAGCAAAGCCTTCTGAACATCCTGTCTCATCCCTCTGTCTTGTAAATGAACCTAAAGGACCAGTTCTGAATGTAATATAATAAAGGCAGTGCTATTATATTAATTAGTGATCTGGATAGTTTATACATCTATTCGTTTCTGAGTGCCATGGTAGCTATGCCCGGAAAGGTGAACTGTCAAGAATATGTTTTATTTTGTTCAGATTGAAATTCCCAATTGGAGATGGTAAAGAAATGAAGCTGAATTGTTTAGAAAACTGACATCTAATTGGTCGAAGAATCTTCATTTAGCACCAGCTTCCTCGTGTATGTGTCATAGTTGTAGTCTACTATGGGCTGGGGTATCTGTGCCTCACCATCCAACTGTGGAATAAATGCATAGTGTGAGACATGATAAGGTTAATAATTTGTAATTTTTACATTAAATTGTATACCGTATTTTCTTGAGTATAGTGCGCACCCATGTATAATGCACACCCCCCTCTAGTGGATTCAGTATTTTGGATTTTTTTTTTCGAATGTCAAGCCCAGGAATAAATTACACCGTAGATCTACCCCTTCATGTATGAATTTATCCTGTCTCATGATCACATGCTACATGCCCTTCCGGCCTGTTAGCTCTGAGAATGAAAATAATGTGTTAGGGTAGTCACGTGATCAGGTCACTATGCTCGAGATTACAGTGTGTGACCCTTTTGTTTGGGTGGTGACAATGGTGATGCTGGGATGTGTTCGGGTGATTTGTTTTTAGAAGCTGGAAACTTTTTTCAAGCACGTTTCCACATAAGAAATGCATAGTGTGAGATAGGATAAGTATATTGATATACAAATTAATATAAAATTTACAATTATTCCCCGTTAAAAGCCCAGACAACATCAAATCTCCCCCAACCACATTGCGGCAGACATTTACCTTTGTTGTTAAAGTATAGTTTGATCAGAAAGACAAACCAAATATATTCAATATTGAACAAATTGTTTACCAAAATTAAAATAAAGTTAGAGTGAGTGAGTGAGTATAGTTTTACGCCGCTTTTAGCAATATTTCAGCAATATCACGGCAGGGGACACCAGAAATGGGCTTCACACATTGTACCCATGTTGGGAATCGAACCCGGGTCTTCGGCGTGATGAGCGAACGCTTTAACCACCTGGCTACCCGACCGCCCCAAATAAAGTTAGAGGAGTCCATTTTGTACAGTAATATTGATAAACATGAGCAGCAGAAAATCCAAGCTTTTGACAGAGTATGTTCAGGGCAGCACTTTCCTTGCATGATGTGTTGGTGTTAGTCCGCAACTTCTGTTTTTCTGTTTTATCATAAACTTAACGATGTTTCATTTTCTCTTCTGAGAATCTCTGGGAGCATGCCAATGTTTTACAATTAAGTTTTAGATGAGAGCATCTCTCAGTATTTATATTCAACAATTTAACTGTTACTTCATTCACATGCTCTACAAAGTTTTACCTCCAGAAAATAGGATGATTTATTTAATGATTTTTAGTTATCTCATAAAGAATTGTTGGGCAGATGAAATAACAATAATATAGTGAAAATTTGATTGTGATTACGGTAAAAAGGGTCATTCTGAAGTTTAATCATTACTTGAAATAGTTAATACAAAGCAGAAAAAAATAAATTAATTGAAGTCTTCAATTGTCGATAATAATCTGATGACTAACTGTGATGTAACCATGGTAACTGGGTGTTGCAGGTTATGTTGGCTTCTCCCGGACACAGATACACAAGTTCCGCCAGTACCTCAATACTTTTGACCCACTGGCCCGCAAGCTGCAGACATCCATGAGGAGAAAGGAACAGAATTTCTCCCACTTCATCACAAGTAAGTAGCCATTGTTTGTTTGTTGTTTAACGCCGCACTCAGCAATATTCCAGCTATATGACGGCAGTTTGTAAATAATCAAGTCTGGGCCAGACAATCTAGTGATTGACATCATGCGCATCGATCTACGCAATTGGGATCGATGATATGCATCAACCAAGTCAGCCAGCCTGACCACCAGATCATGTTAGTCCCCTCTTACGACAAGCATAGTCACCTTTTATGGCAAGCATAGGTTGCTGAAGACCTATTCTACCCTGGATCTTCACGGGTCAAGAAGTCATTGAAGTTTATATGGCTACTGACGCCACGAGGGTGAGCTTTTGGATCATTGCTGAACACATGTAGCATGTAAAAGTGGCAGTTCCATGACAGTGTCCTGTTTCGACATCAAACTACTTCATTCTGCTCGTTGACGTTCTTGTGTGAAGAAAAATGCAACTAAAAAGGTGAAAACTATCACATAAACAAGAATGCCCTGATAAGTGCATTTGTGTGCATGCTTTGTGGCCTCCGCTCCCGCGATTGAAAATGCATTAGAAGGGGGTACAAACACCCCCTTAGACCCCCTTACACCCCCTACACAGCTCATAAAGCCTTGCATCCATCCATGCTGTTACATATTTCATTGAATCATCACAAAAGATGTCTCATAGTAGATGGTTAGTGATCAGAGTGGCAAAATTTAGACGTTCGCAACATCAATATTAAATACCTAATAAACTGCATTCCTGTGTACAGTACTGAAAACTACTCAAAACAATAATATGTAAAAAAATAATATGTTTAATTGTTCCCATTTATAATGCTTTTATACCCATGAATTTTGTTAAAACTGCCCCCCCCCCCCACACACACACACACAAAAAAACCCCAACACCCCTCAACCCAACCATATTGAAGATATTAATGTTTTCATAAACTGGCGTCTACTATAAAATTAGCCACTGCAGGCTATATTTAGTAACCAAAATTGAAATCTGCCAACATCCCTGGGATTAGTCAATGACATTGCGTGTAGAGTTGCTTGATCACTGCGCTAGCAACCCAGTTGCTAGGTTTACATCACATGGCATTGTTCCTGCCTGTGTATCTTGGAACAAAATGTCACACGTTTCACATACGGTTGTGTGACATGTTTGAAAAGTTTGTGGTACTGTATTGTAAAAGTAGGCCAAATAATCTAATAATGATAGACCAAACGTTTACAAGATCATGCTGTCCCATGTGACAACCTTCACAGATTGCGTTGACTGACGTGATCTCATTATGCCTGATTCGTCTTATCCTGCCATTGATTTCATGGTCGCTGGATGACCTGTTGTGAAGGATAAGTTACGTATAGCAGATAAGTGAGTGATATTATTCACTCAAGCTGCAATTACTCCATGCTGTTTGATGGTATTCTAAGTGAACATTACTGGTTTCATTTGCTGATTAAGGAGATGTTTTTTTCAAAAGGTTGGGCTGCGCTGATTAATTTTAAACTTGGGGGTCAACATTAATTTGGTGACTCAAAAATTCAAAATGCTTAGTTCAGTTTAAAGTTTAAACATATTTTATTCTCATGAAAAAGATTGGGCACAAGTTATCACAACTTAGAACGCCCTCTCCCATAGATTTACATGTATGCTTATTTACAGTTAATAAATCAAATGACAGAAAGGAAAGGAAAGAAATAGAGAAACGTATGTACATTCACACTGCTCACTCAAACCCTTTTGTTTTCTTTATATATGTATGTACATTCCTAAAAATGCTTCCGTTCACATGATTAGGTAAACTTGCATTTCCAACTAGCATCAGGTCAATATTAATATCAAAGGTCCCTTTCACAATTAGAAATAGTGAGTGTATCAATTCGTTTCTAGCTGATTTAAATAAAGGACATTCAATGAAAAAATGATATGAATTTTCACATGGGCTGCCACATCAGCATTTTGGATCCTCGTTTAAACCTTTTCCAAATGCTTCAAAGAGAGCACTGTTTAAAGTCACCATTCTATGCATATTGAATATTGGTCTGTTCCACCCGAGAAAAGGAAACATTTCCAGATCATCACCATACGCCAGTCTTTGAAATATGATAACGGTTTTGTTTTTTGTAGTGGATGGGTCTCCCCCGGACTTCTGGGATTTCCGGGGCTGGCCGCTGTTGCCTCAGAACCATGGCCGCAGCGAACCATGTATCTACACCCCCCAGCTAATGAAGCATATCTATGCAGACCCTAAGTTCATCCTCATCCTGCGGAACCCAACAGACAGGTTGGTGTTACGGCCTGATACTGTTTTCAGGTTAATGAAAAAGGTTTTAAAAATCTAAGAGATTCTATCTTGGCTCCTGGTGCCTATTTGGTTAAGATACCACAATTTTCTCTTTGCAGCTTGTGTTGTTTCCCTTGAAACAGTGCCTGGATGCACAGCAAAGGGAAACAACTCTAGCTGTGGCTTGGTGTTCTGTTTCAGACTGTACTCGTAATGTTTTTTATCTTGGCGTTCTTTTACAGACTGTACTCGTTATATTGTTTATCTTGGCTTTCTGTTACAGACTGTACTCGGAATATTGTTTATCTTGGCATCCTGTTACAGACTACTCAGAATGTTGTTTATCTTGGCGTTCTGTTACAGACTGTACTTGGAATATTGTTTATCTTGGCGTTCTGTTACAGACTGTACTCGGAATATTGTTTATCTTGGCATCCTGTTACAGACTACTCAGAATGTTGTTTATCTTGGAATTCTGTTACAGACTACTCGGAATATTGTTTATCTTGGCATCCTGTTACACACTACTCAGAATGTTGTTTATCTTGGCGTTCTGTTACAGACTGTACTTGGAATATTGTTTATCTTGGCGTTCTGTTACAGACTGTACTCGGAATATTGTTTATCTTGGCATCCTGTTACAGACTACTCAGAATGTTGTTTATCTTGGCGTTCTGTTACAGACTGTACTTGGAATATTGTTTATCTTGGCGTTCTGTTACAGACTGTACTTGGAATATTGTTTATCTTGGCTTTCTGTTACAGACTGTACTCAGAATGTTGTTTATCTTGGAGTTCTGTTACAGACTACTTGGAATATTGTTTATCTTGGCTTTCTGTTACAGACTGTACTCGGAATATTGTTTATCTTGGCATCCTGTTACAGACTACTCAGAATGTTGTTTATCTTGGAATTCTGTTACAGACTACTCGGAATATTGTTTATCTTGGCATCCTGTTACACACTACTCAGAATGTTGTTTATCTTGGCGTTCTGTTACAGACTGTACTTGGAATATTGTTTATCTTGGCGTTCTGTTACAGACTGTACTCGGAATATTGTTTATCTTGGCATCCTGTTACAGACTACTCAGAATGTTGTTTATCTTGGCGTTCTGTTACAGACTGTACTTGGAATATTGTTTATCTTGGCGTTCTGTTACAGACTGTACTTGGAATATTGTTTATCTTGGCTTTCTGTTACAGACTGTACTCAGAATGTTGTTTATCTTGGCGTTCTGTTACAGACTACTTGGAATATTGTTTATCTTGGCTTTCTGTTACAGACTGTACTCAGAATGTTGTTTATCTTGGAGTTCTGTTACAGACTACTCAGAATGTTGTTTATCTTGGCGTTCTGTTACAGACTACTTGGAATATTGTTTATCTTGGTGTTCTGTTACAGACTACTTGGAATATTGTTTATCTTGGTGTTCTGTTACAGACTACTCAGAATGTTGTTTATCTTGGAGTTCTGTTACAGACTACTCAGAATATTGTTTATCTTGGCATAGTGTTACAGACTACTCAGAATGTTGTTTATCTTGGCGTTCTGTTACAGACTACTTGGAATATTGTTTATCTTGGTGTTCTGTTACAGACTGTACTCAGAATGTTGTTTATCTTGGAGTTCTGTTACAGACTACTCAGAATGTTGTTTATCTTGGCTTTCTGTTACAGACTACTTGGAATATTGTTTATCTTGGTGTTCTGTTACAGACTACTTGGAATATTGTTTATCTTGGTGTTCTGTTACAGACTACTCAGAATGTTGTTTATCTTGGTGTTCTGTTACAGACTACTTGGAATATTGTTTATCTTGGTGTTCTGTTACAGACTACTCAGAATGATGTTTATCTTGGCGTTCTGTTACAGACTACTTGGAATATTGTTTATCTTGGTGTTCTGTTACAGACTACTTGGAATATTGTTTATCTTGGTGTTGTGTTACAGACTACTCAGAATGTTGTTTATCTTGGTGTTCTGTTACAGACTACTTGGAATATTGTTTATCTTGGCGTTCTGTTACAGACTACTTGGAATATTGTTTATCTTGGTGTTGTGTTACAGACTACTCAGAATATTGTTTATCTTGGCATCCTGTTACAGACTACTCAGAATGTTGTTTATCTTGGCATTCTGTTACAGACTACTCGTGATGTTGTTTATCTTGGTGTTCTGTTACAGACTGTACTCAGAATGTTGTTTATCTTGGCGTTCTGTTACAGACTACTTGGAATATTGTTTATCTTGGTGTTGTGTTACAGACTACTCAGAATATTGTTTATCTTGGCATCCTGTTACAGACTACTCAGAATGTTGTTTATCTTGGCGTTCTGTTACAGACTACTTGGAATGTTGTTTATCTTGGCATTCTGTTACAGACTGTACTCAGAATGTTGTTTATCTTGGCGTTCTGTTACAGACTACTTGGAATGTTGTTTATCTTGGTGTTCTGTTACAGACTGTACTCAGAATGTTGTTTATCTTGGCGTTCTGTTACAGACTACTTGGAATGTTGTTTATCTTGGCATTCTGTTACAGACTGTACTCAGAATGTTGTTTATCTTGGCGTTCTGTTACAGACTACTCAGAATGTTGTTTATCTTGATATTCTGTTTCAAACTGTACTCAGAATGTTGTTTATCTTGGTGTTGTGTTACAGACTACTCAGAATGTTGTTTATCTTGGCGTTCTGTTACAGACTACTTGGAATATTGTTTATCTTGGCGTTGTGTTACAGACTACTCGCAATGTTGTTTATCTTGGAGTTCTGTTACAGACTACTTGGAATGTTGTTTATCTTGGTGTTCCTTTACAGACTACTCAGAATGTTGTTTATCTTGGCATAGTGTTACAGACTACTCAGAATGTTGTTCATCTTGGTGTTCTCTTACAGACTACTCGGAATCATCTTAGTGTTCTGTTACAGACTTGACTCATCATATTGTTGAATTTGACATTCTGTTACAGACTGTACTTGGAATGTTACAGACTAATCGGAATGTTGTTTATCTTGGCGTTGTGTTACAGACTACTCAGAATGATGTTTATCTTGGTGTTCTGTTACAGACTACTCAGAATGATGTTTATCTTGGTGTTCTGTTACAGACTAATCGGGATGTTGTTTATCTTGGCGTTCTGTTACAGACTGTACTGGGAATGTTGTTTATCTTGGCGTTGTGTTACAGACTACTCGAAATGTTGTTTATCTTGGAGTTCCGTTACAGAGTACTCGGGATGTTGTTTATCTTGATATTCTGTTTCAAACTGTACTCGGAATGTTGTTTATCTTGGCATAGTGTTACAGACTACTCAGAATGATGTTTATCTTGGTGTTCTGTTACAGACTGTACTCAGAATGTTGTTTATCTTGGTGGTGTTCTGTTACAGACTACTCAGAATGATGTTTATCTTGGTGTTCCATTACAGACTGTACTCAGAATGTTGTTTATCTTGGTGTTCTGTTACAGACTACTCAGAATGATGTTTATCTTGGCATAGTGTTACAGACTACTCAGAATGTTGTTTATCTTTGTGTTCCGTTACAGACTACTCAGAATTTTGTTTATCTTGGCATAGTGTTACAGACTACTCAGAATGTTGTTCATCTTGGTGTTCTGTTACAGAGTACTCGGGATGTTGTTTATCTTGGCGTTCTGTTACAGACTACTCAGAATGATGTTTATCTTGGTGTTCTGTTACAGACTACTCAGAATGATGTTTATCTTGGTGTTCTGTTACAGACTAATCGGGATGTTGTTTATCTTGGCATTGTGTTACAGACTACTCAGAATGATGTTTATCTTGGTGTTCTGTTACAGACTACTCAGAATGATGTTTATCTTGGTGTTCTGTTACAGACTAATCGGGATGTTGTTTATCTTGGTGTTCTGTTACAGACTACTCAGAATGATGTTTATCTTGGTGTTCTGTTACAGACTACTCAGAATGATGTTTATCTTGGTGTTCTGTTACAGACTACTCAGAATGTTGTTCATCTTGGTGTTCTGTTACAGACTACTCAGAATGTTGTTCATCTTGGCGTTCTGTTACAGACTAATCGGGATGATGTTTATCTTGGCGTTCTGTTACAGACTGTACTGGGAATGTTGTTTATCTTGGCGTTGTGTTACAGACTACTCAGAATGATGTTTATCTTGGTGTTCTGTTACAGACTAATCGGGATGTTGTTTATCTTGGCGTTCTGTTACAGACTGTACTGGGAATGTTGTTTATCTTGGCGTTGTGTTACAGACTACTCAGAATGTTGTTCATCTTGGTGTTCTGTTACAGAGTACTCGGGATGTTGTTTATCTTGATATTCTGTTTCAAACTGTACTCGGAATGTTGTTTATCTTGGCATAGTGTTACAGACTACTCAGAATGATGTTTATCTTGGTGTTCTGTTACAGACTAATCGGGATGTTGTTTATCTTGGCGTTCTGTTACAGACTGTACTCAGAATGTTGCGTATCTTGGTGTTCTGTTACAGACTAATCAGAATGTTGTTTATCTTGGTGTTCTGTTACAGACTACTTGGAATATTGTTTATCTTGGTGTTCTGTTACAGACTGTACTCGGACTACTTCTTCCTGCGTCAGGGCGACACCCCTGAAGATTTCCATGAAGATGTTCAGAAATCCCTTCAGATTCTGGCCAACTGTCAGAAGAAGCACAGTCAGAGGCAGTGCTACTTCAGTGCAGATGTGTACAAGAGACTGACAGTATGTTACAGTAGAAAGTCATGTTGAGTTTCTAACCAAGGAATTAATCATTTAAGTTGTCTTCCCAAATATGTCAGTTGAGGGAAGTTGGAGCATGGAGAGTGCTAACCTTTCTTACTTGGGTAGTGTTAAAGTTTCCTTAATTCAGCTTGACATCCCATTGAAAACAACCCTTGCAGGTCCACTCAGTATCCTGGCAAACTTGGAGGAAGACCTTCTGTGATTTTCCCATGCTAAACAATCTCATTAAAATCAGATTTTGGTGCTCGCTGCCGCTGAACAAAGATCTAAGGATATCCCATTACCAGTCGCGTAAGAATGATCAGAAGCTTCTCTTTCCAGAATGGGAAAGGGACAGTCAAAATGTGTTTTCTGATCATGCATCCTTGAAAAGAATAAAACAGGGCATTCTGAATGACAGTTAATCTTTTCAAACAAAAGACACATTCCATAGCCTGTGGGTAGTACTGCCATACAATCTTTGCCATCTCTTAGACATTCCAGAAATTTCTTTTGCTCTTGTTTCAAATTTTCAACTTTGTCCAAAACATTTTCAAAGCGTAGTGTGCAACGGCAGTCTCCTGTCAAGTATTGCCATAAAGCTTGAGAAAGCTACTTTCTGATTAGCTAATGTCTACTACTAGTTAATCATTTCATTAAATCAGTTTGCGAAAGGTGGTTCTGCATGTAATGGGATGTCTTCAGACCCATGTAATGAACACTAAGATCCAATTATAATTAGATTGCTGTGCTAAAATTTACATTTGAAACCTCACGCTGTAGGTTCGGTTCATATTTAGTTTAGCGTGGTTGAATCTTCGGGTAGCTTAGCTCTACATTGAAAACACAGTCTGTTATCTCCTACATCACTGCAGCAAGATGACGATCATGGTCATCCTGACAAGGAGCATCCGGCACAGGATGAAGAAAAGTCATGGAAACCTTGTGTAAACTTATACTTGATACAACTCCTTCATCCCAGTAAGAGACCGCCTCCGTGGTCTTGTGGTAGAGCGTCCGCCCGGAGAGCGGAAGGTCCAGGGTTCGATCCTGGGCCGCGTCATACAAAAAGACGTTAAAAGATTGTACTTGTTGTTACCCTGTCTGGCGCTCGGCATTAAGGGTCTAAAACAAGGACTGGTCGGCTCGGAGTCAGTATACTGTGTCTGAGTGGGGTATTCATGTTAAACTGCTGCATGGTATCTCTGTGAGCTAGCACTATAAATCGGCATCAGTCCGGACCAGTACAAGCAGCCACACACACACATACACGTGCATGCACGTCGCTATATAAGTGCAATAATCTTGGACGCGACGTTAAACCCAATTTCACCTCACCTCATCCCAGTAAGGACATGTGGTGCCTGCTGTTATTGTTGGATGTAAATTACATCTACAGTCCGTTTTGGCTCCAAATGAGAACGATGAAGTGCAAAATTACTAAAAATCGGAAATAGTCTATTAAATGTCAATAAGTACACGGCAATGAATACCCTGTACCCAACAATATCTGCTGTTTTTTATTTTTATTCCCATTCACTGGAAAAAGTTGTTTATGAAACTGTCATGTTATGTTTACAAGTTGGCGTCTTGAACGGAGGGGGCACAACGGTAGGAGGAACAGCACAAAACGCGTACTGCACATGCTACGTAGTATACGTTGTTGTCGACTGACAAGATGGGCTACTCAGCTGATGTGAAACACTAAATGTATTAGGTGTATAACTTCTTTCAGTGTGAAGCAGTTAGTGGAAAACCATTTAATGCCGTTAATAAATACTTGAAACAAGCTTTTGACATATAATAGACTATTCCCGATTTTGAGTTAGTTTGCAATTCATTATTCTCATTCGGAGCCAAATGACTTACATTGTACCAGATAATATTTTGGTTGCACCTATTGGCACACTTCTAAATACCCTGCAGTTCTCAGCCATGTGTCAGTCACAGCATGTCTCTTGTTTTAATCACATATTTTAACACAAATTAATGTACCGTATTCATCGTAATAAGCGCCCAGGGCACTCTCAAAATTAGAAATAGGGGGCTCTTATTAGAGTATTATTTTGTTGAAAAAAACAGAGTTGAAAGATAAATTTCATGGTTTATGCTGATAGCCTGAAATGTTTATTTTCGACAGATATATTTTTCCAGAATTTAATTGCCCATAGTTAAGGGTGCATATAAACACACGAGTGTGTAATATACGCGAATAAATAAGTCTTTTGTACATTTATCAATCTGAAGGGGTGCTAATTGGGATTGTTCTCTAGCCAATATATTAACAAATATTAAATCAATAACATATTTTTGTGTTAATGTATTTCAGACACGAATACACTTCGGATGTTATAGTTTATTTCTGAAGGAATGGTTGAAAGCCTTTCCACTGCGACACTTTCTTGTCTTGAAGACTGAGGAGTACTCGAAAAACATCACTAACCACATGAAGATGGTCTACTCTTTCCTTGATCTCAGTAAGTGACTACATCTGAAATAAGGTTCAACCTACTTCATTGATGTGGCAGCGATAGATATTGGCACTGGTCCTATCGTCCTTGCCAAACTGCCCAAGGTATAAGAACTAGTAGAAATTAGACTAGACTAGTGGATTAAAACTGTTAGTTTCTCTTGCTGGGTGTTATTCAACACCCGAGGCTAGACCTTTTACAATTTCTTCAATGTTTTTTATCAACGTGGGTATCATTTAGAACATGAAATATAAGTTTTTGTTTTGTCTGGTACAAATCTGTCTTTTGACATTGTTTAATGATATTCCTATTGAATTCAATCATGTCTCGATTTTTATGGTAGCTGCATAGTGAGATGAAACATTTGTTTTGTTTGTTGTTTAACTCCGCACTAAGCAATATTCCAGCTGTATGATGGTGGTCTGTGATTAATCGAGTGTGGACAAGACAATCCAGTGATTGACATCATTAGCATCGATCTATGCAATTAGGATGCGATGACATGCATCAACCAATTCAGCGAACCTGACCACCCAATCCTGTTAGCCGCCTCTTACCACAAGCATAGTCACCTGTTACGACAAGCATGGGTGGCTAAAGACCAATTTTAACCAAGAATCTTCACAGAACAAGCCTGGTGACATGGTCATTTTGAAACTAAGCTGCTGGAGAAAGGGTGTATTCTTTTATCATTGACTCACCTATTTCATTCCCACTGTGTATTGGTTTTGAAGGAAAATGTATTGAGTCTCTAATAGTAGGTAATGGCCTGACTTTCATATTGCTGTCTATTGTAATAATGGTTCATCTATTGCGCGACATACCACAATATACCTGAATGTCAATAGACCCATATATCAGACTTTTTTTTCACTTTATCCAACATTTGCTGGATGTTGCTATGGTCACAATCTAGGAAGCAGGTCCTGATTAGTTTCAGTTTTTTATCACAGGAATCAAGTTCCTGACTTCTGAATTTCATGATTTCAATTTGACTTGTCACTTATGTAAACCTTGCCAACAAGATGAAAATATTCATGATTTAGAAAAACACAAAAAAACAGAATTTTCCAAAAACATCCTGATACATATTCTTTAGCATCTTAAATCATGGTGTTCCGGTAATACTCTCTTCCCACATCAAGTTGACAAGTGATAAAACTGAAGGGAACTGTATACGGCACACATGGTCACAAATTGGTTCAAGTGAAGCCATGTTGTTGATGGGTGACTATGTTCGGCAGCTTGACTCTTGAGAGTTTCTAGGCCTTGTCTCTTGCTCCCACACTGATACATGTTACATGTGTGGTCTCTTGACTTTGACCAATATGCTCCTGTTCACACAGGAAGGAATGGGTACCCAGTAAGATGAGATGGTAATATGACCTTCAAGCGCTTCACAGCTTAGGTTGTATACTCCCTAGGCAGCCAAGAACTAAGTTTGAGGGCATGATGATGATGATGATAACAAAGATGATGATGATGATGATGATGATGATGACGATGATGATGATGATGATGATGGTGATGATGATAGCAATGATGATAGCAATGATGATGATGATGATGATGATGATGATGATGATGATGATGATTTGTTGAAAGTTTCGTGAAACTAAACTCCCTCCCTCACTCACTCTCTGAAACTCACTCTGAAACTCACTCACGCACTCTGAAGTAATTCTGTGTATTTCAGGCCAGGTGTCCATGGACTTGTATGAGGACATTGAGGACCTGAAGAGGAGCCGCGTCACAAAGAAGAAGAAGAATGCTGCGCCCATGTTAGACAGCACCAGGGGGATCCTGGATCAGTTCTATGCACCTTGCAATCAGGAGCTGGCAGATCTGCTGGGCGACAAGAAGTTCCTATGGCAGTAATACTTCCTGGATTTTCCGAGAAAGTTAAAGAGTCCCATATTTTGCATAATATAGCTGAAAACAAGGCTTGTTGTTACATTATTTGTTATTTTGGCACTGCATACAGTGATTCATGTCAAACCAGTACTGCATATCTCTGTGTATGAGGCGAGTTTATTGTACCTCGAATTAGGGGCCTTTCAAGGGGGGTTGTCTTGTACACAGGGTCGAAGAGTTTTGATGTTTTTCCCCCCAACACAGACATAACTGTGAGCACGTAACACCGGAAATACCATGTCAACAAATCCATACTGAAGTACGCAAACTAATCATGTCTGGTTATATAAACAGTTCATTATATATCTGGACTTACCTTTGTTATCTATTATATTAATTTTATTCAAAATTTCATTCAATATTGTTTCTTTTCATTTCGGCAAAATTCATGATGTCAAATTGCAGGAGATCCCTCAGACATTGGATAAGGTCTATTGTGAATATTTATGTCATCAGAATTGAAGTTATTGTTTAGTTGATATCCTCAATAAGATGGATACTGCTAACAAGTTATTTATATGAAGCCATCAAGCGATACCCAAAGACTGGCAGACCTTAGGGATGTCTACACTTGATCTACTTATGTCACTTGTCCTTTTTTCACAAGTGTTATGATCGTCAGTACATGATCATTTCAAAGTATCTCATGATTATCAGTGGAGTATTCCACAGCAGATTATCAAGCCTGTTTGAGATGAAGACTACTGTCTTCTCTCCTCATGTGTATTGGTATGGTGTTGTTTGTTGTTTGTTGTGTATCCACCATCACCCGTTAATGTTGAACAGTTATGTAATTGCAGAACACAGCTTAATTCTTCGTTTTAATGAAGGAAAATAATGTTAGTTGTGATGTCTCGAAGCACTTTGACCTTCAGATAGGAATCTTGGGTGTACTTAACTTTCGTTTTGGACTCAAACAATCACCAATGTCCAGATGAAAATGTTCTTTATTGTCATCTCGCTGCATCATCACCATTATAGCATTATCATCAAGAATGAAAAGAATCAAGTAGAGACTATGTTTCAGGAATATAATTAACTATTTTTGTATACAGAAAGTGCATGTCACTATATGACATGATGCTGTCTGTATGGTTTGTTTGTTTCTCATCTCCCATCAGTCATAAAGTACCAGCCTGCTAAAAAAAACAGAATAAAAAAATATATTTGTTTGATATCAACATGATCAACCCATTCAGATGACTGACTATGCACCAAGTTGCCCCTATGTGTTAAAAAAAATCTCTTTCATCAGAAAATACTTGTTATGTTTATTGGAGTGAACTTAAAGAAGGGAAGTAACTCTATTTTCTGATATTTTTCCTTTTTATGATGCTCTTTCCAGCTTTATGCAGTAGTGAAGCTACTATTGCATTTGAATTTGATTCAATAATGATGCCATGAGTTTTAGCATGTGCGTATGGAAAATGTACTTTGTTTGCACATGGAGATGAGAAACACAACATGGTATGGATTCAATCTCATAAAAATCAGACCTCAGTTCTCGCTACCGCTGAACAAAGATCTGAGGACATCCCATAAGGGGTCACATCAGAAGGACCTTTCTTCCGACCAATCAGAGCATCGCTTACCAGATTATGAAAGTGACAGTCGGAATGTGATTTCTAATCATGCAACCACGAAACCATAGTTACGGGTTTAACGACTGAATCCATACAATCTAGACCATCTATTAGCCATTCCAGAATGTTCTTTTGTTCAGGTTTCAAATTTGTAATCGAGACTTTGCCAAAATATGTTTTTGGTCGCCAATTTGAAATTAGTGCCATAAAGCACGAGAAAGCTGCCTTCTGATTGGTCATTCCATTGGTCGGTCAAAGTTCGTGCAAGGTCGGTCTGACGTGACCCATAATGGGATGTTCTCAGATCTTTGTTCAGCTGTAGCGAGAACTAAGATCTGATTTTAATGAGATTGGGTATGGATTGTGAGTGTAGGGCGGCCTCCTGTTGTTATTCTTTATATCAGGACTGTATATCAGTTATGTTTATGACTTGATGCAGTGCCATATGTGTGTATGTGGATCAGGTGATAAGATTGTGCCAAATACCTACACATCAACCAGTTATCCAGATGTGTATGTTGGAGAGCCTTTTGAAAACAGGACAGATTTGATCTTGTTTTGCAGGTTTAGTAGGCCATTATGTCAACACTGTGCCAGTTTTCTTCACAATGCATGTGCAATGCATATATAAGACACAAAATATGATGTTATCTTAATGACCTTGTATTCCGTATATTGTTTTTAATATTCCTGTTACTAAGGTTGCTGGCTTTGCTTCCAAAAACATCCTCACCAAATACATCTTTGAACATTTTCGATTTGGGAGGAGGCTGTTTGAAGCAGGCTGATCTATTGATATTTTTAAGCATGACAATCTGAATTTGATACATGGAGAAGATTGTACAGCACCAATATTGTCTATTGTATATCTACCAAATTCCTGTTAAATGGTTTGGAAACAGGGAAGTCACGCCTGGAAACAGTTTTAAATTATTTTAGATGCAATTTTAAAAAATGTAGAAATTGAAGTAGTTGCTTGTTGGGAAACTTGATATTTTTTTATAATTAATTGATGATAAATTTATATTTATTGATAATTATTTTTTATTTTAATATATGTTTTCTTGACTTAGGGATGTTTTTAAAATGCAAAAAGTCATCTTTGATGACCAGGCTGACAATTGTCTCCCAAAATTCCAGCTTAGGAACCTTTGACCTTGTAGATTTGAACAAATACTACATTCCTGGAGGAAGGTTTTATATTCCTACATCACTCAGATTTGAAGTTGCTGAAATCGATGCATTTTCATCATATCAACTATTTATCAAAGTATGTATGAGTTATGCAAAAATTATTTAACCATTCCCTAGACTCTAGCAATGAAATTGTTAGATTTACCTCATACAAGCATGGTATTTTGAGGGCTTGTTTGAATCTCATGGTAACATTATTATTGTTGTATGATGTTACCAATAATGTTTTCCTGAATTGTTGATGATTTATTTCCAATGGCTTTTGCTGGATTCATGTGCCTTAATACTTTAAGCTGACAGAACTGTTATAAAACCCAACAAACGATGGCTGATTTCTATGTGTGGTAAGCCACAGGCAGTTACCTCCCTTTGTTATTACCTTGCTCTCATACTGTAATCTTCCCACAGAGTTGGATATGATATTCATCAAGGTAGTATTGTATTCTGTTTTACTGACAATGGCTTAGGATTTTGAAGCATGGAAATCAGTTAAAAATAAATAATTGCCTTTTTTAAAATTGTTTTCTTGGGAACTGGTTGTTTAAATTGTTTTATTTTTTTCCTTATGAAACCTGTCAGTATCAGAGTTTACAGTACACTGAAAATGCATTAGTCCAGATGGTATCGTTGCCACTGAATTTGTCTGGATTAACAGATCAGTGTGAAAGAGTAATATTCTTTTCATACAATTTTCTTGAGAATTATCGGGAAAACAGAGCTAATGGGGTCTGGACTACAGTCCATTAACCATCATTCTGGCGCCTGTCTTTTCATAATTATTTTCCATTAAACATGCAATCACACGACGAAAGTTGGTTATTATTAAAAATTCCAGTTTTTAATACTTCATGTCCGAATAAATATATTTTTTCATTGTTATTATGTAATTTTGTGACTGTTGGCATGGCTCTGTAACGGGGGTAAGAACAGACGATTGAACGTCTCACAACAATGACATAATGTGTGTCAAACATGCTTGCTGCAGACATGACCCGAGGTCACCCTACACCTGTGGTTGCACCAACAGTATTTTCATTTATTTTTTTAAAAAATTTTTTTTCAAGCAATTTGCACAATTTATTCCATTTTGCATCATATTTTATATTTCAATGTCATACATGGAGTGTGCATGGATTGATTGTTACATTTAGGATAATTATTGTAGCGAGATATCTTGAAGGACTATATTCTGATTATCTCCCTGATAAACTTTTAAGACCTGCTGATGACGAATCAAAGGGGCCCATCCCAAATCCCTAAAAAGAAGGAAAAGCTTGACAGTTTGACAAGTAGATATTGAGAAATGTCATTCCACCTATCATTATTGATTGAAATAATATGATGACAAGACATTTAACATGGATTTTCTGACAATTCCTCATCTGATGTAATGTCTGGACTACTTGGAAGGTGTTTTAATCAACAATTCCAGAATAATATCAAGTTTCATGTATTAAAATAGTTAAATTCATATTTAATTTCAAAACTCATTTTAATATATTTACAGTCTTTGAGACATTCCCTCATCATCGGCCTGGATATTAAGGTGACCTTGGGTCATGCAAGCAGCAAGCATGTTTGACCACATTATGTTATAGTTGTCAGATGTTAAATCGTCTGTTCCTACACACACTGTTGACGGTCACAAAATTACATGATAACAATAGAGATTATTTTTATTCGGACGAAAAATATTACAAAACTGGTATCTTTAGTTGGGTTAATGATCTTTATTCAATAATAACTATTTTTCGTCATGTGTTTGTGTGTTTTATGGAAAATACTCTTGGAAAACCAGGTGCCCAAATGATGGTTGATGGACTACCATGAGCCTTCACCACATTGCAGACAACAAATGTGTATGAGTGTATGCAGCAATCTGATGGGTTGGAAAATATTATACAGTGGTATTAAAGTTTTGAAATCTGGACTTATCATTGTGCATTTACCCTGTCCCAAAGATGGAAAATCCTAGTATTTGCAGACTCAACAACAGACATCTAGGAATGGGTCTTACCATGTCTACTGTCGTGTCTCAAAATCATATTACAAGAATGTCTTTCACAGGGAAATTTTATTCTTCATCACTCAAGTTATGACATGGCACACTGTTAAAAATGAATGGCTGCTTGTCTGAAGGATGCGTTGGACCGTAGGGGAAGCTGAAAGAGGCCTGCGGTTAGATCGATCATTTGTTTGGCAGATTTTGTAGCTGTATTTGAGGTACAGATTTGTTACTTCCTCAGAGTATAGTGGGATTCTGAGCCAGTCTCACTTTCCCTCATTGATGTTAGTTCTGTTGTTGATAACCTATAAGTGGGCATTTAATCATACTTGATGATTTGTAGGATGTATAACATGTGTTGTCCTTACATATGGAATACTGTAAGGGACATTACCACGCTCTTGCATTCTCGCGATCTCGATCTTTGGAAACAAGCTAAATATGCCAAAAACATGAGAATGCGAGTTCGCAAGAACGCAAGATTTTGGTCAAATATCGCGTTCTCGCGATCTCGCATTCTCGTGTTTTTGTCAAAAGTTGACAACGCGAGAATGCGACATTTGGACATGATGAGGGAGATCGCGAGAAAACGAAATGTCGCATTCTCGCGATCTCGCATTCTCATGTTTTTGGCATATTTAGCTCGTTTTCAAAGGTCGAGATCGCCAGAATGCGAGATCGCGAGAATGTCCCTTACAGTATTCCATACTTACATGCTTACATTTAACCAATGAAAAAACTTTCTCAATTCAGGTGCAAGTTGTCACTAATGAGATGTATATACTAGCCAAACAAATACTAACAGCATACAAGGTAACCAGTCAAAATCAAGATGAGATCTCTAGCTAGAAATATTTATTTATATCATACTGTGTATGACATTTTATATCTCAATATTTGAGATGGACTTCTACAAGACTTATAGTGATGTCATATTTATTTAGAATGTATTGTCAACATGTGCATGCTGTTTGAGCCTTGACTTATATTTATCCCTATGTACTGATGATATCGTCATGTACTTGCCTCAAATACTTATTTATTGGACTTATGAGGTAATGTATGTTTGAGGTATTCTGTATAATGTAATGTATATACGGTACTTATAGTGTGGGTTCGAATCCCACATTTACCCTGATTATGTTTCTAGGTTTGTCAGCACCATACCGATGCATGTGGGTTTCACCAAACTGGTAAACATCTAAGACCTGAACCACTTGGGTTATTTCCGCCACCATTAATATAATTTTTTTAATTTGAAGTTTACACGATATACAGCTTTTCCATTGGGTGAGAGGTCAGTCATATGAGATCAAAATTGACATTCTTAAGTGTACGAATGACACAATTTGATGTTCATATGTTTTTCATGAGACTGTATTTTTGAAATGACGTACACACTGACGGACTACTTCCTCATTCCTGGGGGAACCTCTGGGAATCCCTAGCACGAATACATACAGAAACGTTTTTTCTGATCATTTGTACCCTTTAATCCTGAACTCAGCGTTTTAGTCTACATTGGGAAATGTCAGAGAGTTTGATTGCAAGCTCTGACATTCATATAGTTTGGCCCTCACTCTATGAACGTTCATTCTCCAATGAACTCACACGAAGTGAAAGTCAATTCTTAAGTGACATGCATTGATGTGACTGAAATACTGTTCAAATGGCGTTAAATGAAACTCACTCTCTGCTGTACTCCGACTTCTGGTAGTTATGATTTACTGACAGAAGTATGTTTGAAGTCATATGTATCAATACATGATTATCATCAATATTATACAGGCATTTGTAATAACTTGTTTAATGCTTCACCAAGGGAATACCACTGAGGTTCCATAATTCAGTATGCTGCAGGATGTCGGAATCTGC